CATGGCCAGTGCAGGTAAACATGCGTAAAGTCATAATGCTTTTGCATACCGACAGGGTCATTGAAGGAGAATTAATCGGTAACTCTGGGAAAAAGCTAAGCTGATGTTTAACGTCTACGACTGCTTTTTTATGTAAATATATACTGACATGCAGTTTGTAGTACTGCCTCTTTTATTCTTCTGCTTTCAGGATAAATTAATGTACTGTTTTCCCCTTTCTGTGTTCTCAGGGATTGATCAGGCACTTCAGGCCTGTGATGGAGAGCCGAATTTCTGAATACCAGCAGCAGAAGCAGGCTAGGGCTTAAATGGCTCCTACACCTCCTTGAGCTCTTTCTTCTGCCTCACTTGCCCTTAACCCTGTGCTTGTGTCATTGACAAATTATTTAAAGCGATAATGTGCCCTCTTATCACCTCATCATCAAGTTATACGTTGATGTGTCTGCCTTGTCTGATAAAATTTCCAATAAATTCTATGAACCTTGAGTTATGCTTTTGTTTTGTCTTTGGAGTATTTTTAATATAACATTTTTTTTGTGTGTTTTACATGTAGGTTCAGTTTAATAGTTGTTTTTGATCATTTCCAGCAAACCTGAAGCACAGTTTCTTCTTTTTTTCCATTGTGCAGTGTTTAGGAAACAAAGATGCACACAATAGCAGAATATTCCAACCTGCCAGGGATAACCAGTTATTAAATAAAATAAATACAATAAATATATAATTTAAAAAAAGATACAAATATTCTAGACATGTAGTAACCACATGGTACAAAGCATGGATTCACTTTAAAACGTATTTGTGTAGACGGTATTTTCCCTGATTGATTTAAAAAAAAAAAAAAAAAAACCCCACTCTACAAACTGCAGTGGTACAGTCCACACAAAGCTCTGCGTTTTCATAATCTCGCGATAACAACGTGGTCGGCAGGTTCTCGTGTCACGTGATGTGGGCAGACTATTCACCGCGGCTTCATTTCGGTGGACGTTTCGCCGTTTCGCACGGTAAGAAATGGATGCCTTTTTTTTTTTTAATTGTTTACAAAGACTTAAGTCAAAATTATTATCGTTTTCCTCACTTAGACACAGTTTTAAAGTGCACACGTGTAAAACTAAAGTGAACTCAAGGCAACACACTTTAAATTATCGTTAAAGATATAACGTTATATGAGCTCAGTCGCTTCGCTGTTAGTTGTAGCTGTGCATGTCGACCAGTGTCCGCTACCTCCATCCTTCTGTCATTTAGCTTTGGCCTAGCGTTAGCTGTTTTTATTGTCTTTATTTCATTATTACTTAAATTACATTTTGCAGTAGTAAATTAAAACAAATGCCTCTTTTTTTTACCAGGCGTGTATTTGTTGTAGAAATGTCCCTTTTGTTTTGAGTAGGGCCAGTCTCCAGTGTTTCATTATGTAGCCGAAATATCGCAATTTCTCGTACGTATGCGGGATAACTTAACGCTAGCCTTACGTCTGCCACTGCAGTCATCTCCTTATAGTCAGTGCATCTTAGCCTGTTAACCTGTATGATGCATTTCCAGCGTGCATTCAACAGCAGTGTGTTCCTATGTTGCAGCTCCATGTGTCTGAAAACACCAGCATGGAAATGATGAAGATAGAGCAAGTCATTGTTGGGAGTGAAAAGAGATCCACCTCAGCGGAGATCAAGGCTGAGCCTGCGGTCGTCCCTCTGCAGTCCTGTAAGCTAAACATTTAGATGCATTGTTCATTCATAGAAAACCCAGTTATAACTGTCAAAGTCTCATTTCACAGCAATCACAGTAAACAGATGATGCCCTGCTGTTAAATCTGTATGTTTTCTGCTGTTGACGTTGTAACTAATCAGCAAACAACTTGTCATCTCATTGTGATGCAGATCAGCATGAGAGTCTGCAGTGTTTTCAGTGCTTCATCACCTTCTGCAACTCCAAAGCCAAGGAGCGACACATGAGGAAGAGTCATCGGGACCAGTACAAACAGCAGCTGCAGCAGGTAGGGGGAGAGCAAAATAAAAAATGCCAGGTCAGGTTTCAAGTAGTGATACAAACTCAGCAAATTTATGTGTATTCAACTGAAGATTGTTTTCATTATTGAATAATCTTTAGAGAATGAAAATGCTTTGTTTTTATTTTTTCCCAGAGAACAAATTAATGTTCTCAATAACTTGTTTTGTCTGACCAATAATCCCAAAATCAAAATATATTTAGTATCATAGAAAACAAAAACTGTTTCTGTTGATCGACTATTGAATAAAGCTACTAATTGCAAAAAGCAAATGTTATTTTTCTGTGAATTGCAACTGCAGTGGGTTGCTGTATGGATTATAGGCTGACTACCTGGATTTTTTCTATCAATGTTTGAGAATAAGGAATAAAACATAATTTGTCAGTCGGTATTTGTCAGTAATATAAATATTTTGATTTGTTTTTCAAGTTTCCCTTCAGTTTGGTTATGAAAGAATATTCATTACTTGATGTTGGACAAAGTATGTGAGGGCAACACTGTTTCTAAATTACCTCAAACTAATCTTTGGTATTTCTGTGTTGCAATTTCATGCAACATTGGCCGGGCTGATGTATCAGTCAGGCTCTAGTACAAATACAACTTTCCATTATAATTTTATCTTTTTGTACATAATATGATTGTAGGTTAAAATGTGGATGTAATTTGGTTTGAAAATAGCAGAGGGGGAAAAAGCCTTTGAAAGTACGATTTTCTTGTTGATTATTGTTTTATTGTTCCTAATAAAGCATTGAGTTAGGATTTTGTTTATTTATAACCAACTTTCTGCTCATTATTTTGCAGACTGACACAGTCTTCACTTGCTACAAGTGTGACAAGTCCTTCTCCTCCTCTGATGAGCTCAGCCAGCACCAGGCCACCCACAGCACAGAGGAGAAGCCCTTCCACTGTACTTACTGCCAGAAAAACTTCTTTACTTTCACCGAGGTGAGGGCACAGTGGGGCTACATGTAGGCATGTTTTTTTGTGCTTGGGATATGATAAAATAATAGTTAATTGGCTATGATGAATGTTTTATGTCTTGCAGCTGAACAAACACAGACGACATGAGTGCATAGAGCGACGCTGTCCCTGCAGGGACTGCGGCGCCTTGTTCCCCAGTCCTTCAAGACTTCGCAATCATCGCATCGCAGTGCACCCTCAACGCCCTGTAATAGCTGATGACATCAACACCTACCAATGCTGCAAATGTACTCGTGGTTTCCAGACAGAGGAAGAGCTCCTGGAGCATCAGGAGAAATTTGCAAATGACCTAAACTGTGACGTAAAGCCGCAAGGCAAAAAACGTGGGCGAAAACCCAAGCACGCAGCTCAAGCAGAGATGGTTGACAACAAGAAGATCAAACAAGAAGAGGAAGCAGGGGAATGCCAAGGATACGATGAGTCTACTACGGAGGGATGCCCCTCCAATGGGCCTCAAACAGAGCTCAAGATTCCTTGTTCTGAAACAGATTGTGACCTCATATTTCCTTCTGTTGCCGCCCTGCGGGAACACAAGAGGGAGAAACACGGGACTCCCCCTCGCAAGGCTCACACATGCACAGAGTGTGACGAGAGCTACGCTCGGCCTGAGCAGCTCAAAGCACACATTTGCAAGGCTCACTGCTCTGAATACACCTGCCCCACCTGTGGTAAAAGCTTTGCAGGAGAGAACCTCCTAAAGATCCACCAGAACACCCACACTGAGGGAGAGGAGGTAGCAGAACAAAGATAATATATGGGGAAAAGACTGCAACTGCATCCTACTTCATTCAGTTAAATGATTGTCAGAGTATTATCATATTCTACTCAGTGTAGGTAGAAGATTATTATGTGAATATTTTACGTTGAGAGTTTTTGAAGCAAGTTATGCAACACAATTGAATTATGGAGGTTGTTTCTGAAATGCCTTTTTTCAGTTGCTTTTAGAAAGACACCCTACACTTGTGAATCAAACTCTGTACCAATCTGTGCATAATTTTGATTTCTGCTCATGTCACAAGGGCCTTTTTGCTGTCCGTAATTACCTCTATCGTACCTGAAATGTTTTATATTCATTGTAGAGTAAGTAGCTAATTCTCACTCGTGTGGGAAGGTTTTGTATTTAACTGTACTATTTTATTTTCAGGAAAACTCATAAAGGTGACAGTTACACTGGGAATGTAAGTCCTAAACATAATGAAATCTGATAAACGGACCAAGATATAGGATTCAATCCTATTCAACTAATGATGTATTCTTTGGGTCTACTATTACTCTTTCCAAAAGTAAATGATGCTGTATTAAACAATAATCACATTTCTGTGGTGTCTTTGGCTGTAACTTTATGTTCTGTGTAAACTGTAGAAGTTAAATATAAATGTTTTTAGGGACTGTTTCCACCTGTTCATAAAATAATCTAATATCGACCATGTCAGAATTAGTAGCACTCACTGTTTTAGGTATGAAATAGTCAATTTTAAGATGCATATGTCATTTATGAAGTAGTATCCTACTTATGAAGCACATTTGCTGCTACAGCTTAACTTTAATTTTAATTTTTAGTTTATTTTTGTCCACTAAAGAATAAAAAAATATTTTAAGGATGTTAACCCACAAATGATTGATTATAAGACAAATATGACTAAACATGCAAGATTGATTATGTACATTTGAAAACTATTTTTTTCAAGATGGACAACAATTACTGTAATAACTGAAGTACATTTACTCAAGCATTGTATTAAAGTATAATTTTGAGGTACTAAATAAATTATTAGTAGTAATTCATATAAATTATCTAAATACTTCTTCCATCTTAATGTCGCCTCTTTGATCCACAATTTTTAACTTAATGTACAAGAATTATAAAAACACCAACACCTGACACCTAAAGAAGACACAAGCGACGTCGCCCAGTGTGTCGAACTAGGGGCGGGCTGCGCCTCAGAGCATACGGTCAATGGGCCGGAGAAGTTCGTTTTCCCATGATGCACCGGGGGTTGCTTTCTATCTCGCGCCTTTGCCTCGGCGCAGTCCATCTTGCCTCTCATATCGCTGCTGTCAGCTTCTGCCAGCGCGCCGTCCGTGTTGTTGTAGTAAATAATGGCGGCATCGGGAGGCGGATTACCATCTCCCGCTACCGTCGCGGGCTTAAGTGCCCAAGGGGTCGCCCGGGCTCGTTTCCCGGGTCGGCCGTCCACAGTTCGCAGCAGGCTGCGGTCGGAGAAACGTACCAGACGCGGAAGGTTGGGCTCGGACGACGGGGAGCTCGCTGCCGGAGGGCCGAGGCCCGTCAACATCGGCCTTGCGTTGAGCGAAGATCCGTCCCTGCTGCGTCTGCTCGGCGTGGCGGAGAAGCACAGGCGGCAGAGAGATGCGGGGTTCGACTCCAGCGACAGTGAGGAGGTGAATAAGCTAACTGTAGCATGTCAGCTAGACGGATAATAATGCGTCCAACGGGGACACGTAAAGCCAGTTCGGTTAAAAGAATGGCATTTAAAACAATTTGTTTGTTACTCACTAAAGTATTTAGGCTAACGTATAGCTAGTTAGCTGTAACTTATCTTGCAAACACCAACCCTAAAATAGGATTTGTAGCTAGCTAGTCTGCCTGCGCTGTATGCTTCAGATATGACTATTTCCAGTAATTGATTGCTTCTGCAGATATTAGTAGTTCATTGTCTGTTTCTGAAAATCCCCTTATCAATACTGTGAGTCACACACACACACACACACACACACACACACACACACGAGAGAGACCAGTGTCCGTCCAGCTGAGTTTGTGTGTCTGAAAATAACATTAGGCGGAAACTTTGGCGGTCTTACAGCCGTGGATGTGTTTTGTTGTGGAAACCGGGGGATGTCTTTGTTCGTTCATCCCCCTGTCACGGTTTGTTGAGTTGAACTTCCCACACTGCTGACATCCACAGGCTGCTAATCTCGTCGTAAGTAAAACGTCGCTGTTGCTGGTGCGGCTGCCAACCTGAGGGTTCACACTTTCCACGTTGGAGCTCGCTCGGTGTTTTGAACGTCAGTGTAACGTGGGAAGCAACGGGAAGGGAAACAGAGACGTTACCTTGACGTTATAACCTAAAAAGCTTAATTTGGACCTTTTAGAAAAAGATGTTGCCCAGTGCCAAATTTGGTATAGTCTGTGTTTACAAACATGCATCACTCCCATCATGCACATCTCCCTTTTGTTGTGGATGTAAAAGGTTTAAAGTTCAGGAGGAATCAAAGCTTTTCCCAGCTTTTACTTGCAATTTATAAGGTCTGTTTTAAAGAAATAGCATAATTCTCTGTTAGTTATCTGCAGGCTGCAATAGATGTTATACCATCACAGTCACACTGCTTGCATAGGCTTTGACTTAATTTAGTTATTGCAAAGTATGATGAGTGGAAATGCTTGAAATCAAGTGTTATTGATTGACATGATGAGAGGGTCCAGGGGCGCTAAGTATGACTCTTCTCAATATTGTAGTGTAGCCTAGTTGGCGGTTATGGTCATATTTTTTTACACATGAATATTCAACATTGACAAAAACCTGGAAACGCAGTTAGAAAATGATGATGTGAATATCTTTAACATATATTGTAAGAGCTTTGCAGCTACACATCATAGCTTATAGATGTTCTGTGCACAGCTGTGCTCCCTAACTGGTAAAAGCTGGAGTCATTCATAATGAGGCATAAATATTACACGACAACCAAGAGAGTACTCTAACGCACTGTGAAGAAGCCAATGTGTTACATATCATGTCATTCAGAGGTGGTCTCCATTTTGCCTCAGTCAGACAGGGCTGTGATAATGATACGATACCAAATTGGATCTAATCATGTTATTTAATCTCCAGAGCAGGGGCTTTAGTGTCTTACATCAGTCGGACTTAACTGATGCAACCCTTTTAAAGTGGACTGTAACAGATTCACATGACCCATGCTAAAGCTTGTGGGTGCTGCTCAACTGGAGTACCACACGTCACTTGGGGCCCCACACACTCATGTGCTCTGCAGGGCTTTTGAATAGGTATCATTAGGGGAGTTTCATCGCTGACGAATCTATGGAGTCGTTATTTTGCGCGTGAAGATGGAAGTGAGTAATTGAAAATCGAGTTGAAGTGTGCTTTTGATCTGCTGTAGTGTGCAATCTTTGGGTCTGAGGTAAATGAGGATGTTGGAGGCTGACTGCTCCAAAGGATCTGTTTAAAAAGTGGAGTTTGAATGTGTATTTTCAGTGGCTGTATTAAAAGGTCACTCCTTTTAAGGGAATATTAGGCTGAAATGCACTGCTTTCTTTTTATTCCACCTTAGCTTGAGTGCTACACTCCTGATCTCACTTAAAATTAGACACATGCAGAGAGATGGTGCGCAGGTAGAGATTCTGCTGAGTTATTTCTGACAGTTGACTCACCAATTGAAACTGAAATCTGCTTCATTTGGTGTCTCAGCACTATACTGATGCAACATTGGAGTAACGGTATTGAGAGCAGTGCTGATGCTTAACCATGTTTTCAACAGGGCTAATGCCTCATAATCAAATGATAAACTCAGAAGTGGGTGAGGAATGATTAAAACTTTTTAATTAAAAGACAATTATTTTTGCATTGTTGCATAATGCCTGCATTGGCTTGGGTGAAGTTTAAGATGTTTAAGTTTAAGAGCACAAACTTATGCTTCAACATACCATTATGATGGCAAGAAGGTGACACCCTTGCGGTAGGGATCCCCCAACAAAACACACACACACACACACACACACACACACACACACACACACACACACACACACACACACACACACACAGAAACACACAGAAACCTGAGTACCTGCTGAACCCATTCATTATCATTGTTTGAAACACAATACTGGGCAGACAAAGCTGTTTAAGTGTCTTTGTTACCACTTTCACCTCAGCTCTCTATATTATGGAAATCCTGGATATTTAAGATAAGCTATATGTCTGTAATTACTGCGTTCATATTGATGTCTATTTTATATAGCAGTCCTTCACTAGTTATCAGTTCAGCTTTATGCTATGTCAAGTTTGTAGTCTGTGCACCACGTGGTGTACAGCATACCGTTGTTCAAATCTTGTATTAAAAATTGTACTTGTGTTTTTCTCCAGGAGGAAGATTTCACTGGATTTGGGACCACAAGAGTTCGTCCACAGAAAACATCTGTCACTCTTCTCGATTCGTCATTACTCAGCCAAGCAAAGTCTCCCCAAACTTCAGACCATTCTCTGGGAGCAAAACCTCTCATTGGAAAAATTATACCCAGGACTCCAAAACCGTCTATTATTGGGAAAATTGTACCAAGGCTCCCTAAAGAAGGCCAGGATGTCAAAGACAGACCTGTAAAAGACAAAGACATACCCAAGGTGGTAGTTAAACTGCACGGCAAGCAGGTAGATCTCCCTGCAAAAGCCAAACATGCAGATGGGCAGGCCTCAGGTAGACAGAGCAGCACAAGATCAGCTGACTTTAATAGTAAAGCAGGAAAATCAGCAGACTCAGGCAGCATGCAAAACCAAACAGCCGCTACCTCAGCTGGTAGCACCAAGCAAGATAAGCTGGTGAGCCCTCTGGCAGCAGTCAAGGGCGCAGGAAAAGCTTCCAAGGTCAAGGAACAAGGCGAGGTGTCAGAGGATCCAGACACAGACCAGTCCCAGCCACAGAGAGCTGTGAAACGCATGAAGGGCTTTCGAATTGGGAACAGCAGACGCACATCTCAAGCCATTGCTTTGTCAATCACATCCTTTCGCAAACGGCAAAGAAAGAGAATGGCTAAGAATATGGGTGCCTCTCCAGAAGCTGGGGCAGAGGCCGGTGCCCAGAGTGGAGAGGAGGCAGCAATGCCTTTTGAGTGTAAATCCGTAGATTCCTCTGAGAAAACGGCTCAAAAAAGACCACGCAAATCTTTGTTTGGGCACAAGCGAAAGCAGACAAGCGACGTTCCAATCCTAAATCGTCCAAAAATAAGTCGGAATCGCACTAGGCGTGTTTATTACACCTATGTACCAGAACCCATTCCATCCACAACTACACTGCAAGGTCAGAATGTCCCTCCATCAGAGGGTGAGACGAGCTCGTTTTCTGAAGTCCAGCAGAGTGCAAACAACTCCTCCACTCTTGTGATGAGTGCACGGTCCTCCCGCGTTATTAAAGTTCCGAAGAGGTTCTTGGACGAGGAAATGATTCCCTTTCCAAAGGGCTCTCTGTCAACATGGAGGAAAAATCAACAGAGAGAGGATGGAAAACCAAGTCCATCAGGTCAAGAGTCGAGCTATGACGACATCTCGCTGCAGTCAGACAGTGACTATATGTCTGTGGTTGACAGCCCATCTGCAGGGACAAAGTTCTCATCCAAGCCCAATCCGGGCACGAGCCACCTAGAAATCTACAAGAACCTCAAGAAACTGACCTTGAAAGTTGCGGAGAAAAAGAAAGGCCAGCCCGACACCCAGGGGGATTATATACATCCCGGCGATGGTTTGACCTCTCATGTCAAGAAGAGGAGGAGGTCAAAGCTCATGATGGAGGAGATGGACTCTCCTGGTGTTGTGAGGAAACTAGCCGTGGTGGTGAACACTGATGTGGAAGCCCCCTCGCGTATGCCATTAGAAGATACAGGCAACAATAGTAAGTTAGTTATTTCTTCTTTTTGTGTAATTATCTATGAAGATCTTGCTACTTAATGTTAGCTGTGTTTTTTTTTTTTTACAATTGCCTATTGTTGCATGGTTGGTATCTATCTCAAACAAGTGCTTGTTTTACAACATCCCTCCTGGAATAGTGAGGAGTTTTGATTCTTTATGAGACTGCACAGTTGAGTGCAGGGTTTGAGTACTTCAGTGTCTGCAAAATTTTTCACTTGGGCGCTTTTTGATTATATAGCTGTATTACAGGTTTTTCACTTACATTGGGAGTGTAAAGATGTACTGGTTAATTCAACAAACACCTAGGCCTCGAGAACACGATGAAAAATTTTGAATGTCTTGATAATTGCGAATAGATCATTTAACAGTTTGAGGTGATTGCTTCACTGTTTTGTTCAGAGGTGTGTTTTCAGTAGGTGTTGTTTGCTTGTGCATCATCTAACCAGAGATGCTTTATTCACGCTGTCTGGTACAGATGAAGCAGGGATCGTGACTGGGGACAGTCATGAGGCGTTGGAAGTCAGCGGGCCCAGCTATCGAATTGGTCTCAGTGGAGCTAATAAGACGATGCTTCACCTGCTGAAGAAAGCCAAAGTCCAGCTCATCAAGATTGATCAGCAGAAGCAGCTCAAGTTGTCACAGGTAAGAATCTGGGATGAAATCTGTCCAGAAGTAGAAAAAAAAAGATTGTGAAGAATTATTAAACCATCGTTCCTCAGCATGGTACACAGGCCTTCTGATTATCAACTGATGATTAAAATAACCTTAAAGGAAAAATGCTAAATATTTGTTGTTTTTGCAAACTGAATATCATTTGTTTTTGACTGTTGGTCAGACAAAACAAGACATTTTAGGATGCCACCTTGGTCTCTGTCAATCACTACATCTAATAAACAAACAGAGGTAGAATTATACATGTAACTTTTGTTCTGTCTCCCTTTTTATTAGACATTTACAAATCAGATTGCAATTAACATGGTTGTTTATTTAGTAACAAAAGGATGTTCTGGCATCCCTAACATAATAACTTGTTTTCCCTTACTTGTCTGGACCAATAGTTGGGCTCCAGAGAATCTCGAGTGCCAGTGAGTGGAAGAAGGAGGAGGAGGAGGAGAGTTGGCGTATGTCCCAAAGATATTGGTCCTCAGGTAACACTTTTAACTTGAAAATGTGCATTTTTATGTTCTTCTGTCTAGGTTTGATTAAATCAAAGCACTGTCAGTCCATTGCATTTGTTGTAATCATTTGTGCTTTGGTTCTTACCACGATCGTTTATTCACATATATACTGTATGTACTTTGGAAGATCCACCCTATAACACTGGGAGAGAGAAAAAACAACTGTTAAACTCACTCTGTATGAGTGTTGAGCCAGAGTCCATCATGAAAGATAAGCACTTGCTTTTGTACATAAAGCAGCAGAAAACGAACATAAACTGTACATCCACATACCAGGAAATGGATGAATGAAAGTCCAGCTTTATTTGTGGAGCAGATTTTAGATATTTAATATACACACCAACAACACAATTAAGAGAGAAACAAGACTGTAACAGCACTTCACTGGTAGAACCAAATTATGTATTAAATATATAGATTGTTTTTTGTTTTGTCATTATTAAATAATTTGCATTTATCATTTGCACTTTACCATGGACAATATATCCTACTGTCAGTGTAATGTGATATATTCCACGTGGAGGTTTGTTTACCATAAATTACCACAATTTGTTTGTAACTAAATATTCTGTTTGTGTTTGTGTGCAGGAGCAGCCACTGGGTGGTCCGAGGATCAAACATGTCTGTCGGGCAGCAGCAGTGGCTTTGGGGCAGCCCCGTGCCATGGTGCCAGATGATATTCCCAGACTCAGCGCCCTGCCACTTCACGAGAGGGAGGGCATCACCTTTTCTCCAACAGCAGAAGGTACAGTGCATCTCCATGTGTTGTTTTTAAGCAGAATGCAGATAGTCTGACTTTCTTTAGTCTTTCTCGCACATAAATGTACTTGGGTGGACCACCAGGTGTAATAACTGCCTGGAAACACATTTTAGCGTTTTGCACACGTTCTGCAAAAAGAAAGATGGCGACGTTATCTGGTTGACACATTCTATATTCTTGCTTTCGCAAGCCTCCATGTGCGGCTCGCCTGCTGTTGTGAAAATGAAATTGTGGGTGAAAAAGTCCTTTTTATAAAATCTACTGCTCACCAAGAAAGGGGCAGGACAAGCCGGTGTGTGAGACAAGGCTGTAGGTGTGTGAGGGGGAGAAGGGAAAAAGCTGATTAAAGTAGTTTGTGTGTAAACACTAAAATAAGATGGAGAATTAAGTAGAATTCAATTTTTAAAATAAGAAATGTCCTACTCGAAATACAAATATTGCCCCGCCCCTCCACAGTTACACCATTCTGAGGGAAATGCTGTATATTTGTTGAGCTCTACGCTGCTCCCAATAACCAAGCACAGGCTGTTGGAGAGAGTGGAATATGTTGTAAATGTTGATAACAGTTGTCAATTCATGATGCTTCGTCATTTCTTAATTTGGATACTTAAAAGACTACTTTGAATAGACCCTGTGGTCGGTATCAGCTGCTTCCAGCGGTTGGTTGTTGTCCCCAAAAACCTTTCAATCCACCATCGGACCTGTAGCAAACACTGTCACTACACACCGCTCCTTATGGGCTGTGTGTTGATTTTATCAAAAACTGAATTTAATTGTTTAATTCATCCGTTATTATTTTGTGTGATGTTGAAACCGGTATTAAATTGCATTCTGTGTGGTATTAAAAAAAAGTCTTAAAGTCTTAAATTCAAGTTGCTGAACCTTCCCTGCAGCACATTTCAAGATGTGCAGCCTCAACTGTTGCTACTGTGTAGTTGGAGTTTCTACCAGCCTCAGGATTACCGCATCATTCACAGATTGATTGTAAACAATTAAAAAAAGACACTGTATATAACCAAGTCCTCAGGTAGGTTAACTGTTTTTCAGTTCAATTTCTCCAAAATGCTTCATTACCATTTGTCCAGACTTAAATTCATTTTGGCCAAGCTGCTCTGCTAGTGTATTTTAATGAAAACATTCACCTGCTAAAATATTCTTTCAAACTGGCATAGCTAAGCTTCTGCAGTTACAAACACACAACCTAAAATCAATTTCACCTGCTGAGCAGAAAAATAAATAAAACTGCTTTGTTAGCTCAATGTAGTTGTAACTAAAATATTTGCCAGCAAAAATATCTTTTGTCACACACAGATTAGCCACCGCTGTTGGAAAGCTTTACCCAACACTGGTCGAGTGAGCATCACTCAGTATGAGGTGAGGAAGTGCCATTTGACAAATAGACTCACTGCCCTGAATTTTGCCTCCTAATGAACACATGTTGGGGAGAAAATGGATCCTTACACAAGGTTATTTCTGCTACATTATTCTGTTAAAATCATGACAGTCACCACCTATAAGTAATTAATTTCAGTCTGATTTATTATTATTTTCAGTCTTTGTGCCAGGTGGCATTAAAATACTACCACTGGGGGTTGCAATAGGTTGTGAATTGAGTTTCCAAATTATTTGTAGTAGTTTTAAAACCCAAAAATGTTCAGTAGGTCAATTTCCACCAGCAATGGATTTATCAGAAATGTCCAGTCACCTAACTTTATTGTAGAGTAATTCTTAGATTTCAAACACTTCATGCAGCCAATAGTATTTATAGTAGCCGTAGAAACCAGGCTCGCCAAACAAAAGACCAGTAAATGACAATATAAGCACCTCCAACGCAACCTCAAGTTCTGGCATCCAGATATGCCGCCCCACATCACATGCACTTAATTATGTTTGTAATGCACATTGTGGCGCTTTTACCCATCCTCCTTTGTCTCTCGCCTTCAGATGTGGCCGACGATGACGATGACATCACTGATCAGGGCAGGGCTCAGTGGGTTGTCTCTCAGGAGACCATCCAGCGGAGGAGGGGGAGGGGAAGGGGTAGGGGCCACAGATTAAAAAGAAGGAAGCCCCTGAGTCAGTATGCACCTGGGGGAGTCCGTGCCCGGCGCTGTGGACGCTGCAGAGGTTGTTTGATAGAGGAGGACTGCGCAAAGTGCATCAACTGCCTCGATAAGCCCAAGTTCGGGGGGCCCAACACCAAGCGGCAGTGTTGCATGTAAGTTAAACACTAACCATAGATTCTGATTGTTGAGTTTACAGAGAAAAGCTGGTAAATAGGCTGATTTTACTCCGCAAGATGTCTGTGTTGCATAGGCATTTCTCACACACCACTTGATGGGTTTAGGCACTTAAGGTTTCAATGAATTGAAGGTTTGACACAGAAGGTCTGCAAGAAGAGCTGGCAGTGTAAATAAATCCACTATACAAATATGATGAGCTCAGGTTTTTCCGACCTGGTCGTTGGAAATGTATTTTGGGTGAACAGATGTCTGGCAAGTGAAGAAGTTCCCTGAGTGCTGTATTAGCTTGTTGTCTATCTGTAATGTCAATGTGCATAGATCTTACTGTAAATTCTCAAGCCGGTATCCAAATAACAAACAGTAATATTAATGTAGCCTCCTATATCAGCTCACATGGTACATTTTGTATAAGTAATAATATTTAGACGTCACTCATTCCACCCGTACAGTGATACTTTCATGTTCCACTCACCACTCTGCTGCTTCAAGTTTCTCTTAATTAACAGAAGTATTTTCCCTCTTACTACTTTCTTCTTTGCCATAATCGTGTGTCGGTGTTAGGCTACTATCAACAAAACTCAATGCTACCTGATGTGTTTTCACATTGATATATTTTTGGGGCCTTTTCCCTTAATTAGATAAGACAGCTAAAGATAGACAGGAAAGGGGGGAGAGGGGATGACACGCAGCAAAGGGTCAAAGGTCGAACTCGAACCTATGGTCGCTGCAGCAGTGACTCAGCATTAGTACAGCGCGCCGGCTCTACCAGGTGACCTACCAGAGCGCCACATGTTTTAACATGAAACCTTTCGATGCAAAAATTCTAGAAGTGTTGGTTTCATTCATGGTAACTTAACATTATTTGCAACATAAGCATGACTAACATGTTATGAATTTGCATATCCTGGGTGAACAGGGGAATTTAGACATAAAGGCTGGTTTCTCTGTCACTGAGGTACACAAAGGCCCTGACGACTATCTGAGAATTTACAGTAATCAGCCCTTAAGCCCCAAATGTAGTCCCTAATGCTTGCTATTAGTTAAAAGGAATAATTTCACATTTAGTGAAATGTACTTATTTAAGACTAATTTGCTTTCTTGTCAAGAGTTAGATCAGAAGATTTCTACTGCTCTCATGTCTGCACGGTAAATATGAAACTACAGATTGCAGCAGACTAGATTACCTCAGCACAAAGACAGGAAACAGGGAAACTGCTAAGTGCTTGTGCTGGTAGGTGGAATTTGTTATCTTTGGACAAAGTCAGGCTAGCTGTGTCCCCCTGTTTCCAGTCTTTGTGCTAGCTAAGCTAACCAGCTGCTGGCTTCATATTTACCATACAGACCTGAGAGTGGTATCAATCTTTCCTGTTTAAATCTCAGTAAGAAAAGTATTTCCCAAAATGTAGAATTATTGCATTTAAGATAGGCAATACAAAACATCCAGACAGTGTGTTTGGGGAAAGAATAGCAGATATATTTTAGTGCTAAATTAGGTTCTAAAATGTTTAAGTGCCTAAAATACTGTGTGACTTCTAGATTAAGCGTTTTTTGTACATGAAACATGAAAATACTTTTTATTTCCTTCCAGTAAAACATATTAAACAATCCTGTTAATGAAGGCAAGTCGACTCTTACAGTTAAACACATTCATAGATGTCTACATATGCACTTTATCTTGGACACATAATTACATTTTACTCTTTCTTATGCCTTCAGATATAAGAAGTGTGATCGGATTGAGAAAGCGAAGATTGATCGAATCATCAAACCATTGAAAGGTATGTCTTTTAATTGGATGATGCTCCTGCTCATAATTGTATTCCTGAGCAGTGATGTTGCTACGTTAGATCTTGTATTTCTTGCTATAATTAATTCTTTAGGGTAACAAATTCAAGAAAGTATCCAAATAATTATAATATTTTAATATTATATAATTTAAATTAATTTAATATTTTTCTCAGTCCAATCGAGGCGGCTGTCGGGCTGTGTGTCAAGTAGTGATGATTCCAACTGGAGGTTCGGAGGGGCAGGCGAGGGATCGTCCTCGATGGCGCTCGGAGTCCAGAAACACTCCCTGCGTAACATCACACCGCGTTCCTACAGCAGCTTGCTGAAGTCTGAATCTGAAGAAGAGGAGGAAGAAGAACAAGGGGATAAGGCAGTTAAACAGTCAACAGTCAAGCCAAGTGTAGCATCTGCTAACCAAGGTAACTAAAGCTTTGTTTTTGTGACTCAGTCACTGTAATGCTTCTGGTCAATCCCTTTTTCCAGCTGTGGTTCCAGCATTTTCATTTCCGACATGGGACCTTTGATACATGTCACTTTATTTCCACCAACAGGGACTTTAGATGATTACACTGTATCTTTCCAAAAATGTAACTACACACACATAATTATTATGATTGGACGGCTGACTATTTTCCCTGTCCTCCTGTCCTGTGTAGTGTTGGCTGATAGAGAAGACAACATGGATCCAGTCAAATTAGCTCTCCCACATGTAACAAAGCCATTTCCAATGCAAACATTTCCTTGGCCACAGTTTCTACGGGTTAAAATCACAAAGTAAATGAGACCCCATGTAAACCTGATTTTAAAAATTGTCCAAAAAAAGCTGACCGGCTATTTTAAAGAGCTTGACATAGAGTCACAGAATACATTATCCTTGTGTTTTTTTGAAAGTAGAATCAGAATTGTGCCTTAGATCTGTTTTTATCTTTTGGAGATCCTGCTTCCCAAGATGGTGGATCAGTGCCAAACATCCCTCCATCTGAGGTGGTGAAGCATCGCCGACCGTTCTCCAGAGGAGCTGGGAGCAGACCCAGAGCTTACAAGGTAAAAACATCAAGCAGATTTCCCCCTCGCCTCCAGTATGTCACCTAATCAAACCTGGGTCAAGTTATATTTTTGGAAAATGGTTTTACTTATATTGGTAGTCAGATACATTTCCATATAGGTAGTGGTAAAGAAAAATTGTAATTAAAAAAACAAATTTGTCAGATTAAATTAAGCCTAACTGATAGTCTGAATAATTAGACACCATCATCAGACAATCATTAGACCACAAACAACTACAAATATTTCCAAGTAATACTTTGCCCAGGTCTGCATCTTACTTTCTGTTTTTATTTCTCTCATTTTAATTGAATCATCTGTGTTGGATTGAGTGATTTTAATAACATCTTTCAAATTCAGCCTTGCTAATATCCTGTTTTGGACTTTCACATTTTCCCTTCATATTAAACACCTTGCATGTACTTAACCTTAAATTATATACCAATTAAACTATGTTCGTGATAAAATAGCCCATCTCAGTTTCTGTTTGAGGCAGCAAGTCCTTTTTGATGGTAATGTTTTTGGCTAACTTGTTCAGGAAAATGTTACTAAGGACCTTCTAACAACGCATAAGGCGATACTTGAGTATCTAAAAGCACTTAGAGATCAAAAGGTTTTCCCTTACAACATCCTAAGGAAATCCTTATGGTGATTTTATGCTACTAACTTTCTTCTAAGGCATCCTCGGATCAAAATTAAAGGGCAACCTTAGCCTAAGTGGATTAATGCAACCGGGCATTAAAAAGTAATCTTAATTAACTGAAAGTAAAAACGTATGTCCTGTTTAAATGAGCATTTTAACTTCACACACAAGTTTATTTTCTTCCGTTATCATACAAATACACTACAACATTAACCACACCTTTTTTAATCAAGAGGAGACCCAAGGTTCAGAAAATAACCAATCACAAAGAAAGAAATTGACCCTAACTTCCCACCCTATATGTGTAGGCATTAAGTAGGCAAAATAACACAATCACAATAACCTGATGTAATCACTTCTGTTTGTGCACTTCACTAATGTCAGTATAAATTCATAACAATAAATACGAAACAAAGAATTCTGTGATTGTATGTTTAGTTTAATTTTGAAAGAAATCCAACAATTAGATAAAATCTAAAATAATCTGATGGTAAGATTATAAGCCTTCTAGTAACGAGTTTTTATGAAGCCTATTATTACTGCGATCGTCAGTATAACTGATCAGTAAAATCCGCCATCACTTTCAGATGCCACTAATTTTAGTGTTGAAACGGCTGTGACACTGTGTTATAACTTGAGCTAAGATTATATCTTAAATATTGGCTGTGCTGCCTGTCTCTTTGCTTCTGCTTTTTCTGTTTGGCATGTACATTTGGCTTCTTCAAATCACATGCCAATCTAATCATGCAAACTTGTGAATATGGAACAGTTTGCTCGTCCACTGTCAAAGCTCGACCTGACCTTGGCTTTTTTAAATTTTTTTTTCTTTTACCCTAAAATCTGCATTGCTTGAAACCTCTGCCATTCTTCATTAGAAATCCCCCCCCCTCCCCCCCATATTTATGTAAAGACGATGATTCCAAGTGTTGAATTTATCTTCATCTGTGTCTGTTGGTTACAAATTGGTAGTGTTGTTGCTGCTGGTTAAGGGATCTGGTGTATACATCTTAAAATTTGAAACCTCATGAGGTCTGAGGTCATGTGTGCTGTTCTTCATTGGTTGGTGTTGACACATGCTAGTAACTCCCATCTTCCTCCTCCTTCCAAAACACATCAGCTACAAAGGAAGCCTCTGAATTTTGAAGACAAGAATAAAGGGGAAACAAGCACACAAAATCAACAACATGCGGTCTATTTTCGTGGAATTGTAAACAAAGTGACATGCAGCATTTCCTGTTTTCGCCAAGTTTGTGGGTGGTTTTCCGTTTTTTGTTAGCTGTAGATTTGTCCACAGTGCCCACTACAGTGTAGGAGTGCAGTGGTTGTTTTCTTAAGGAGAAGAGCTCAGCAGAATGTAAACACACTTGGTGATGGACAGTACGCTGGTGTGTGCAAAAGGCATGCTTAGACCCTTTTAGAAGGAACACCCTTATTTACAGTGTATTAGTAAAGACCCACAGGATATGCTGGTTTACAATACAACGTGCATATATCTAGTGGAGTACCTGCATGCATATAATCACGCATGCACCTTTCTTGAAAATGCACATATAATTATCTGCATTTACATGCTGGGTGCATCTAAACACACTGTATCTGCATGTGTCTGAAATTTTAATTAAAAGGGCTGTGTCAGTGCGTTTATGACATGTTTACTGCTGTCTGGAAGTGTGGGTGTTATAGAGAGAGATTATAAATAAAACGGGCATCTTAACACAAACTATAAATTACAGATTACATATTCCATCAACATTGGAGAAATAAATGTATAGCGGTAGCACACTGCATATGGTGCAGACAAAATAGACAAACCCTTCCTCTGAAACTAACAAACACACATCTTAGCATAAAACTCTTTTTTGAAGGAGCAAAATCAGTGCAACATCTGTACACCATACAACCTCACATCTGCATTCCACTAGATCCAGTAAAGAAGTGATACAGAGGTGTAAATGTTTAAAAGTTAAATTACTCACATCAAACTAGATGATTTTTCTCATGTTCCCATGCTATCTGCATTTTTTCATTGCACAGCCTACGTATCAGAGATTACACTAAACATGACAAATTATTTGTTAGTCTTAATATTGTGTTTTTAGTTTTTGTGATTATCTAGCTGTCTTTGAACTCGACACATGCATACTTCACTTATCTGTTTATCTCTACTGCTACTGAATGCGTTTGCTATATTTTCTTTACCTTTTCTCACTTCTTATTCCTGGCTAACACATTACTCTACAAGTCACAGTTCTCCCTTTTCCTGTCACTTTGGCTGCTGCCAGTCGCCGCCTCTGCATGTCACTAGTATCAGTGTATCTTTGGAACCTGTCGTGCTGGTTGGCTTAGGCAGTCCCCTCCTCCACAGGAACAGGAGAGCACGGAGGAGATGGAGCCCAGAGAAACTTTACCAGAAACCAGCCCAGCCAGGAGCCCAATGCCGAAGCTGCAGAAGCAGCTACAAATACACTTATACCGTCTGCCTGATTTTATCCTGCAGTCTGCTCTGTCTTTGCCACAGCAGTTGCCTCAGTGTCTGGATCAGTGTGCTTCACAATCGCATCCAATATTGTCCCAGCTTGTAACACAGCCTGCTATTTCACATCCATCACATATCACAACACAGTCTCCTCCTGAATTGTCCCAGCCTGTAACTCATCCCGCTTCTCCACTTTCCCCACACCCCATAACAGACTCTAAAATGAAATCCTTGCTGTTGCGTTTGCATCGTTTGCCCAAGTCTCAGGTGCAGTCAGTCTTGCATTGGCAAAAATGTATATCATCATCATCATCATCTTCCGAACACTCTCCCCAGTCCACACTGCACTCATCTCTGTCAGAGGTTTCTTCAAAGTTGTGTTTTCAGGAACATCCAGAGTCTGAGGTGCAGCACCCAGACGTTTTGACTGAGACAAACACAGCTAACAAAGATAAACCAGTGCACAAAAGTTTGCAAGTGCTCCCTCAGACTGTCGATCCGCAAACAGAGTTACAGGAGGGCACGCAAGAGGATCAGGAGGACGAACGAGGGGATCAACCGGAAGAGGAGAAGGAGGACGTTTCTGTGAAAGGGACAGTGCCGCAAAACTGTCCAACAACTGACACACACTATGTCCTTCGTTCCCAGAATCCTGCAGAGTGTGCGTCAGTGAACACCCTGACGGGGTTAACTAACGGATTTCCCCAAAAGGGCCCGTTGCAGCACAAGTACAAGATCCGTGTGGACTTCAAGGTGAGTTTTTTTTTGCAGTATGGCATTTTTAGATTGCCTTTCACTGGGGTGTTGAAATTGACCATATATTGCTTTTCAGCACCAGCGTTGCATTTAAAACTTCACATGACGAGTTGTTTAGAGATTTCAGATTTGGCTGCCCTTACTTGAAATGAAAGCACTTGAGACTGTAAGGCACTTAAAGGCATACTGAGTAGAGGTTTGTTTGCACCATTCAAAGTTGGCCCCGCCCTGTGTCAACTGAGAGCAGAACAAGCTAGACAGTGAATGGGAGTTAGGGAGTGCAGCTACAGATAACAAAGTAGTGAGTCAGAGAAATTAAACTGTATTTTCTGATTGTTTCACAGCGGTTATGTTCTAAAGTACCTCCACACAATCTTACAGAAGTATGCGCATTGCTGGGTTTTGTGCTGGAGCTGCACTGTCTCCTGTGTGTAGCTCAGCCTGCCCTCAGTCAAATAGACACAGAGCTGCAGCTCTTTATATATTCATAGTCTCGCATAGACCTCTCCCCACTTTGTTTTACCGCTGTGCCAGGGCTGCAGACCAGAGGAGAGAGAGAGAGACAGACAGCTATCTCCTCGCTATGTTTTTTTTATAGACTCTCTGACCCTGCGCACTGCCCAAAGGTTGACATCTAAAAACGTCCCCTATAGAGCAAAATACAGGCAGAGGGCAGGGTCTCTGCAGATAAAGACTCCACCACACACACACCAGTGGGTCAGGGTTGATGATTGAGAGGGATTATGACCATATGAATGATACATTGTTTTGGTTTTTTCTTTAGGAATATCCTACTCATTGTGTTTTTAAGGTAAAAGAATATATACCTCTCAGAAAAGATTGAAAGATAAACACCTTTGTCTTTTCTCTAGCTCTAAAGTATGAACTACAGAGCTGTTATATAAATTGCCTTTATCCTGGTGTTCATTATTGTAACACATCAAGGACCAGCCTTGCTACTACTGGTTGTGATGGGGCTGTTATTAAGTTGCTTTTTTAAATAAATTTAATTCATGTTAATGAGCTCATGTGTCCTCAGAATATCAATAAAAAAAACTGATCACCTTCCTCTTTCTTTGTGTCTACCAGGAGGACTGTGCTGTACAAAATGTATGGCTAATGGGAGGCCTCAGTGTCCTCACGTCTGTCCCTACCACGCCACAACCTGTCTGTCTGCTTTGTGCCAGTAAAGGGCGACATGAGGTAATTCAGTTCAATTCTTTTTGAGCCCAAATAGTCTAGTTATAAGTAATGTGTGTGTAAATATATAAGATGAGAAGTGTTACGATAACGGTCATATCTCCAAGTCTGTGTTTGCAGTATTTTGGAGTCAGTGCCAATAATATCATTTTTGGTGGCTAAACTGGTCTCCTTTTGTCCCCCACTTCCCTCAGATGATATTCTGCCAGATCTGCTGTGAGCCTTTCCACAGTTTCTGCCTCTCGCCAGAGGAACGCCCAATAAAACAGAACAAGGAGAACTGGTGCTGCAGGCGCTGCAAATTCTGTCACGTGTGTGGCCGTCGAAGCAAAAACACGAAGGTATGCAACCCAGAATCCCTTGTGATGTGAAAACAAAAACAGTCTCGTAAATGTGATTTAAGGAAAGGTTAATTTATTTTAATTGGGTTACATTAATATGAATAACACAAAATAAAATAAAAAAGATGTAATTGATGATAAATGCACACTGGCAAATCTTTTGGAGTAAATTTTGTGATATGTAATTGTTTTAGGGAAATACACAGAAAGTGTCTTTTTGCGGAACAAGAAGATTTTCAGTTTGTTATATTACACAGACACGTTCAACTGGGTTTTCACCTTCATATCTATTTCAGATACAATTTTTATTAAAAGTTTTTAATTTTACCATGCTACATTACACTGTCTTTGGAAATTGTACATGAGATATTATGATCACATTCCGTTATTTATAATTTTTTATTAGTATATTTGCACATTTGAGATGGCCTTTATACCCTAGTGTTTTTTTCCTCTCTAGCCTGTGTTGCAGTGCAGAAGATGTCAAACATCCTACCACCCTTCCTGCTTGGGACCAACTTACCCTAAACCTATGAACTGCAGCATGCCTTGGGTAATTGCTTTATTACCCTTAAAATATATTGGAATGTCCTTGTTGTGTCTCGGAGATATCAAAAGTACTAAATTGTCATAAAATGTTAAGATACTGGGGCAGATCTGTGTCAAGAATGCCACGATTTATGTGTTTTGTTTGCAGTTTGAACCCTCCTAGCCCCACATGTGCTTGATGTTTTGTGACGTGTGTGTAGGTGTGCATGACATGCATTCGGTGTAAAAGCTGTGGCGTGACTCCTGGAAAGAGCTGGGACTTGGCCTGGAATCACGAGCAGGACCTCTGTCCTGACTGCAGTCTTCTGCACAACAAAGGTAAGAGGCTGAGGCTGAGACACAGCAGTGTTTTCTGAAGGCCTTGTAGACACATGTAAAAGCTCAGTAAATACGTGGGTCATTAGTTGTAAACAAACACATCAACTGTTTCTTTGAAGGATAATCTGGACTCATATGCATAGTATGTATTTATAGTTCAAATGTGTGGCGCTAGAAATGGACAATGTGATTCATATGTGATCTGTATTTATATCAGGTAATTTCTGCACTGTCTGCCACAAGTGCTACGATGACAACAAGAAACAAGCTCAGATGATTCAGTGTTCAGAGTGCAGCCACTGGATTCATTACACGTGTGAAGGACTTTCTGGTGAGTAACATTTTGTTCTTGAGTTTTCATTACAACCAAACAATACAGTGGGGAACTGCTTTTTGTTGACAGGTTTAGTTAGATTTAGACTGTTTTCCATGTTAATTTACAGTACATTTTACACACAGTACAATTAAAAAAAGTCACAATGACAAAAAATTACCTGAAAAGGGAAATAATCTCTTAGAGACCCACAGAATTATGCTCTAAATGTGTTTTGTTTGTCATTATAGATGAGCTGTTTGGGTTGCTGTCAAACCAACCAGAAGAAGTGTTTTTCACCTGTCAACCATGCGGACAGCACCCAACTGAACACAGCAGCTTGAAGGAAAAGCTGCAGAGCAGGCTGATGGCCGGGCTGGAGGAGGTGCTCACTGGCCTCCTCTCCCACTACACCACACAGCACCTCCTTATCTGTAAAATGGTAAGAGCTACCCAAGAGTCCTGTTCTAAAGCAGTAAATTTGATTTAACAATAATGAATAAAAAGAAAACACAGTTTTTGTTCTTAAAGTCAACTTAATGACTTAATGAATTAAACTTAATGTTTCAATTCTTTTATGTATTGTTTTATTATGTTTTTTTGGTACCAGATAGCTGAATTTCTCCTCTTACTTTAACTGTTTGTGTTTCAGTGTCAGGAAACAGACAACACACACTTTGTAAGGGTGCAGCAACCAGTCTGTGATCTACAAGCCATGGAGAAGAAGTTTAATGCGGGCGGATACACCTCAATAGTGAGTAGCTGTTCACACCTTCAGCTGAGAAAATAAGTAAAGTTCTGTATGTCACACAATTATTACTTTCTGTCTTTAAACCTCTCCTCTTGTCGCTCTCTCAGAAAGCTTTCCATGCTGATGTCACCTCTTTGATGAGGAAGCGCCTGAAGGAGGAGGAGCTTCTCCCTGACTATCAGAGACCAACCAGTCAGGCCAGGGCACACTATGTCAAAGTAAGCTTCCTTCTCCTCCCAAATCTCCCATGGTTTTAGTTTATTTTTAGAGACCCATGTTTTATTGATTTCCAATGGAATGTGGAGCTGAGTCACTACACAAATACACTATAAAAAGAGTTGTTTGAGTAAAATTATGTACAAAAATACACATTCCTTGGTTTGCCTTTGATCATACTTAAATTGTGTTTTTCCCACAGCTGATTGAGCAGGTTTTCAGTTGGTTTCCTGCACACCATCTGAAAAAGTGGAACTCCTTCTCTGAGGAATTCCCAAGGTAATCTTTTTTTTCCACTTACATTTAATTAAACATTAGTCCCTCAATATACACAAATTAATTATTCCCTTACTATATATATTTGAGCTTTATGGCGTAGTTCAGTCTGGTGAGCTGCAATTTAAATAACCTATAGAGAATGACAGTGTTACTCAGGACGCTGTAGTAGATGGAGAGTTGTCTCAAATGTCTTCTCTGGCTCTCCCCCCCTTATCCCTCACTCTGTAGTGGCATGCTCCCTGAGGCGGTCCTCCCACCATCTAAGGAGCACAGCTATGCACAGTGGCTGGAAAGGACATACCAGCCCAAGGAGTGCAGGGGCCCACAGGCAGGCAAAGCTGGCTCTCTGCTATCCTCAGTCACTACACAGCTGTCTGGCGTATCGCACAGCCTCCCTCTATATTCACATGGTATGTTAACTATTGTAACCTGTTCTGTATCACGTATGCCAAGGAATGTGATCTACGTAAGAACTTCTGGCACTCGTGTTATATCACAAAATAAACTTGTATATATATTAATATTATCATTAGCGGTTATTGTATCAATTATTCAATTATTGGTTATCGTCTGCCCTGAAATGCCTGAAATCTTTATGGGTTTAAAAATGTGAATATTCATTTAGCCCTCCTCCTTCCTCACAGGTGTTATGAGTGATGTGGAAACCACAAAGGCTGAAGATATGCGACAGTGCGCCCTGTGCCAACAATATGGAGACTATGCTCCCTGTGTGAGTTTCTTACTGTGTTATTACTGCAAGGGCTACAGCTATTAAATATTTTCTTTAATGATGTTTAATTTATAACATATTAGAAAGTGGTAAAAACAAAAACACATATCTGACCAACAGTCTCAAAACCCAGTGATACTCAGCAGTTTGAATATGTCCCATTTATAAAGCTGCACCATCAAAGTGACCGAAATGATGAATCAGTTATCAAAACAGTAGCAGATTAATCAACCAATTGTTTCAGCTCCACTCGCTTTGCTTCATACAAAAATATCAATACTATATATGACATACTGGATGGATTATGTTTGTAGTAACTGAACATTGTAGCTCTTCTGGTTCGCCATTTTTATGCCTCCATACCACCAATAGACGTGGCCTGAGCCATTGTGTTTCTGAGTTGTCCATCCGTCTGTTCCATTCTTGTGAATGCAATATCTCAGGTACACTTGGACTCAGGGATGAAGTGATTAGATTTTGGAAAGGTCAAGGTCACTGTGATTTGATGACAATATTTCACAATTGGTAGGACCATGAATTGGTTACACTGTTACTCAAAGGTCATTGTGACATCAAAATATAAAAATATATATTGTAAATAAATATTAAATTAATCAATTGAAAAATGTATATTCACTGAAATCATACATATACACCATCAGTAAAGTGATAACTTCCATTTAATAAAAATAATATTCTTATCTTTCCTTCATGTCAGCTTACAATGTGAAAATGGCTACTACCTCTACTGCTTATTAGGTAATATGAATCTGTTTTTCTTCCTGACAGGATGCAGGACGGCTGTTGTACTTGGGACAGAATGAGTGGGCCCACATTAACTGCTGCCTTTGGTCTGCAGAGGTGTATGAGGAGAACAGTGCTCTTTTGCAAGTGCACAGCGCTGTCTCAAGAGGGCGCCACCTGGTAAGATATAATCAAGAAATAAATTAATAATTTCTAGTAGCTAGATGTTTATCACACTTGCTCTGAGCGTTGAAGGATTGCAGTCTGCACAAGTTGATTAATTGCCATGATTGTTTTTGTCCTTCATTCTCCAGCGCTGTGATCGTTGTGGGCAGTCAGGAGCCACTGTGGGCTGCTGTCTTGCCACCTGCCAGAGTAATTTTCACTTCATGTGTGCTCGTGCCCAGAATTGTGTGTTCCAGCAGGACAGGAAGATGTACTGCTACAAACACAGGGATCTTGTCAGTGTGAAGGTATGAACACAATTTTCCTCCTAGCTGCTCTTTTATTTTTAGTTTTATTATAGTTATAAATTAACAGGGAAAAGCGTTACACTCTTCAGCTTACCCACACGTACCTCACGCCTGCTCATTTTATATAAATTATATTGATTTATTTCCCGTACCCTTCCAGATGGTCTCTGGGAAAGGGTTTGAAGTCCAGCGGCGAGTATACGTGGACTTTGAGGGGATCAATCTCAGAAGAAAGTTCCTCACAGGCTTAGAGCCAGAATCCATAAACATGACCATAGGTAAGAATATATGGGTGTTGTCTGTTCTTGGTTTGAACCCCATGACTCCTGTACAGGGATTAAATATTACTGCTATATATCAGACTGCCTTTAATGTGCTAAAACGTATTATCTTTCCTTTCTCACTTTTCCAGGTTCTCTGCAGATTCAGAAACTTGGTGTGCTGTCAGAGCTGTCATCAAATGGGAGGATGCTATATCCTGTCGGCTATCAGTAAGTGACCACTGACATTATACAACTGGTGCCTTTTTAATGAGGTGATCTGACTGGTTAAACACACATTTTGAGTGTAGTTCTGATAAAACATGCCAAAAGGAATCGCCAATCTTTTATGTTTATTAAAAGTCTCATCAGTATGTTTGTGACTAAAAACCTAAATACCGTGTAGGACTTCATCAATGATTCTTTTAGTAACTTTTGTGCTTACTGTAGCACAATTACTTTGTCCTTTTTGTTTGATTTATTAATGTGAACACATTCTGCTTGCCTTGCTTTTCCAGATGTTCTCGGTTGTACTGGAGCACCGTGGACCCACGTAAACGCTGCAAATACACCTGTAAGGTGACAGAAGTGAGCACACCTCTCCCTGGTGAGGAACAAGATCCGCGATGGGACCAAGAAGAGAATCACACCATAGTCCACAGTCCCAGCCACCATAGAGGTCAGCAGGAACTTTATTTTGTGTTTAAGGCCCATCTCACTTGTTGTTCACTTTAGCAAGCACTCATAGAAATGTTTTTGCTCAAAATATAGAGCTGACATTAACCCTTAAAAAGGTATCAAGTTCACAAAATGATTTTTTTTTACAATATTTTTTCTTTGGCAGAGTCCCCAGATTGTTTAAGCTCCTCCTCCAGCCCAATAAAGTCCACTACCCCATCGCCCAACTCTAAACAGCACAACACGCCTGGATCCAAAAGTCCTGGTTACACACAAACCAGGAGACCAGCAGGAGGTTCATCTCGACCTCTTCCATCTCCAGGTAAATGGTTTAAGATTAAATGTTGATTTTTGTTTTTGTTTTAAATGTAATTGTATATTTTTACTTGTTTAACTTTTTGAAAGGCATTTTTTGAGTGTTAAATGTGTAATCTTACTTTATTCTCAAACTAGACCATTGTTGCATCTTCTTCATGCTTTATTTGATGCTTTCAGGGACCGCTCCTCCCAAATCTCATCACATCCTGACACTGAGGGACCTGGAAGACACCCGTCGGCCTCGCAGGCTCTCATCAAGAAGCCGCTGCAGCTCCTCGCCAACAGATAGCGACCCATCTGCACCGATGACCCTCCGCTCCGGTGGCACCGTCCACTCCAGATGTGCCCTGTTCAGCTCCCCTCCAAGATCGTCAAACTTGGGGGCTGCAGCTCCTCTATCACGACAGAACTCAACATCACCTGTCTGGAGCTCCCCGCCTAGATCCAACTCCAGCATTTCTGCAGGGCTGTCACCGCGGCAAGGAGCCATCACTCATTCACCCAAAGGGAGGCAAAACTTTAGAATCACCACTCCAGTTTCTGCAGAGGTTCCCCAAGACTTCTTGGCATCGTCTGAGGCAGAAGATGCAGCAGTGGCCACAACCAATGGGATCTCATTAGCCCCCGATAACCTGGAAGAGGAAGTAGCCCACCTGATGGCCCAGGAGCTGCCTTACACAGTGTTTGATACTGACACAGAGGTCGCAGTGGCCTCAATGCTTAATGCGAAGCTTGAGTTTGACGAGGCACTGCTCACCGAGAACGTGGCAGGTGTTGTGCAAGATGTGGAAATGCAGGAAGATAATCGGGAGAATGACTCTGAAGATGAAACCTCAAGCCATTACTTTAAATTTTCACGCACAGTGGTGTGTGACGCAGCTAGCAGCTCAGACGCCTCAGGTCAGCTCCCTTCAGCACAGTCAATCTCACAGTTGGATGGAGCGGACGGTGGGTCAGAGAGTGATGAAAGCGGAGCAGTCGATAATGAAGCTCAGGACACAGAAGAAGAAGAAGAAGAAGAAGAAGAGGGAGAGATTAAGATTCACACTAACCATAATACACCTACGAAACAGCTGACAGTTGCTCTAAAGAGGCTGGAGTCGATCTACACTGTGTCAAAGACAACAGTTGAACAAGGAACAGATGAGCCAGACGTTCAGGAAAATTCACTGCCGTCTGATGTTCTTGAATCGGGTTATGTGCACGATGACATGTCAGTTCAGGGTGAAGAGGTCCTAATGAGCTCTGAAACACCAACATCTCCAAATGAGATGTTTTTGGATTCAGCGACAGGCCATTTTGTTTCAGCTGAAGATGGTGCTGTAGTGTACCAAAATAAAAATGAAATTGACAATAAAGACGAAAGTAGCTCATCAACTGACTCAGTTGGAGGATTTAAAGATGATTTGAATGACCCTGACTACTCCCCAGAGCATGAAACCAAAAAATCTCCCACAGCGCCGATGAAAACCATCATTGTAAAGACAAAACGTCCAGTATCAAACCTCAAGCGCATGTCTGCTAAACCATGTCTTCCACAACAGAATAAACTCAAATTGCTGTTACCGCCTCGACCTACGCAGAGTGTAAATAATGCGTCAGTCTCCCCTACAGCTGCTGCCTCTTTTTCTACCATTCCACGGACAGTTACCTCCCCCATTGTGATCAACGGTTTGAACGCTCTACCTATTCAGCCTGGCGCCACACGGGGCAGAACCGTCGCTATCCGCTTGGACAACTCAAAGCCAGCGAGTCAGCAGCAAGTTGTGATTCAGAATCAAGGAGCAGCCACTGGCTCAACCCCGCCCCCCGCTCGTCAAGTCCTGCTGGTCAACCGTCAAGGTCAGATCCTGATCAAAGACCAGAGAACAAACACTTATCAGTCACTCAGTACAAATTCTCCTGCCTACAATAAAATAAGCCAGATTGCTAAGATTCTCCATAGCGGAAACGCCTTTCAGCGCTCAGGCCCTCATGTCATAATAAAGCCTCGTTCCAGCACCTCTGCCACAAATGTCTCTCCCGCCGGTAACCACACAACAACATCCGAGAGAAAAATCATTGTCAGAATGGTTCCTGTGAAAAGCAGTGGGACTCCCACTCCCACAGCTCCTGTCAGTGTGCAGAGCGTTCCTGAGCCAGCTTTCTCTAACATTGAAGAAAGCACAGCCCAGGCCATTATTGACAGGGCCATGGCTACCCACCGTGACACGCCAAAGACAGAACCCATCATCCTCCGTAACACCCGAAGGCCAAAGGCCAGACATAGAAGGCCGTCCAAGGTTCAGGACGCAGAGGACTCCGATCAGTCCCCAGCTGCACGTTCAGAGTCCCCAAACATGCAACCAACACCTGCTTCATTGCACCATCAAGTGAGGGTCAAGATAGTGTCACCAGTGTCTGAAAGGCCCTCCAGGAAGAAATCCAAGATGGACTTCTTGAGGGATCCCTCAAGTGACCTGGATGAAGACAATGAAGCCAGGTATTCAACGATGTTGTTCTTCTCTAGTGTTATGTATCGTCCCTCTGTATGTCCAAGCGTCCTTGGGCAAGATACTGAACCCCAAATTGCTCCCGATGCTTTGAGTGAGTGAATGGGATTAGTTTGTTTCTGATGAGCATTTGGCACCTTTCATGGCCTCTGCAAACCTCTGCCACTAGTGTGTGAATGGGTGAATGTGACATGTAGTTATTAGTGCTATATAAATGCACAGTACAAGAGAGTAGAAGACTATTAAGAAAAATGACCATAACTCCAGGTTCGCTTCCGAAAACTAACTTTGTGCCACCATGGATGTTTAGTTTACTGCCTAGAATAAACTGTTAGGACTGCAGCTAGTGGTTATGTTCATTAATTTGTTTGGTGGAGAAATGTTAAACGTGATATACTTGTGATATTTTGAATGTGCTGCATGATATTTGTGCTCTTTTGTATAACTTTAAACCATAACAAAATATGAAAAACCACGGTTCATTTAAGACACTTGGACAACCGTACCGAAGTTAACAGCAGCAGCACTGCTCTGAATCCGTGTATTAAGTCACCAAAATGTTAACTATCTTGTTTTCTTCCAGCAGACCGAGTGGTGTGAGAATGAAAGCTCCTACAATGAAGGATGTTCTTGATATGGACCAGGAGAATATACCGGATGAGCCTGAGCAATTGAGGATTACTGCTCCGCCACTTCCTACATCCTCCAGGTTAATATAATATCATCCTCATTTAGAGCCTTAATACAATGCTATAACAGAACGAATCTGACTCTGTTAATATAAAGTGGTATTGATAGTACCTTTTAGTCTGGTTGCTGGAAGAAGTGCAGTAAAATTGTATTTACTTGTTCGTCCTTCCTGCTCAGGCATCCTCGGGCTGAGAGTCCACCTACACACACACAAACCAACAGTCACGATATGGGTCAAACACACATGTGGGTCAGCGCTCGCCATGGAGACCTCTCTGAATGGGGCCCTTATTCAGGTTTGTAACTAAACATTACATGTTTATTTGATTATTTATTTGGAGCTCCATTAGTTGTCACCAGTGCAAAAGCTACTCTTCCCTTCCAGACTTTCGATGTTGTCAGATTAAATTTTGTTCTTCAATTTGTTCTTCCAGTTATTCAAACTAAAATTATATAGTTTGATTATTTTTAAGTGTTGTTTTTCAGGAAATGTTGTATCTAACAATTTTTTTTGGTTGCAATTACGACTTTGTTCTACAGGTTTTAGCTCAGATGATGAATTACCTGCACCCAAACACAGAAAGAGGACATACATGAACCAGCCACACCTGCGTTTTGAAATCACCAGCGACGATGGCTTCAGTGTTAAGGCTAACAGCATGGAGGGTAAAAGCTGCTTGTTTACTGTACTACTAGAGCCTTTGCTAACTTAGTAGCTGAGCAATATTCTTCTAGGCATGTTTGAGTCACTCTTTAGGACTTTTTCATTTGGTAGAGATTGTCAGCCTGTCTGTAATTTTTTCAAGCTCTCTTACACGGTCCTCGTATCTTTCCTCACCTCTCAGTTGCCTGGCGTGCGGTGATTGATGGTGTCCTCGAAGCTCGTGCAGGCTTCCACCTCAAGCAGCTGCCTCTGGGCGGGATGAGCGGCCCGCGGGTGCTCGGTGTCGTCCACGACGCTGTCATCTTCCTGCTGGAGCAACTGCAGGGTGCCGCAAACTGCAAATGCCACCGCTTCCGCTTCCACCGCTGTGATTACATCGAGGAAGAGCTCCCTCTCAATCCAAGCGGCTGTGCTCGTTCTGAAGTTTACACACGGTACTTTTTGTCATGATGACGTGTTAATGAGGTTTATTTAAATAGTTCTTCGTTTTTGTTTTTCTTGTCTATTGTCTAAATGAATTATCTTTCTTCAATCAGGAAAGCAACTTTTGATATGTTCAACTTCCTGGCATCACAGCACAGAGAGCTCCCTGACATAGTAGGCCCTTTTGATGAAGAGGAGGATGAATTCCCACTGAAATCTTCCAGGTTAGGGGACTCTTCTTGATCCTAACCTTACTGCACATTGCAATGAACATAAATGTAATGCAGATGCCATGTCTATGTTGACACCACCTTCTGTGTCTCACTCTGACAGGCGAGCCACCAGCAGTGAGCTTCCCATGGCAATGAGATTCAGACACCTGGAAAAAATCTCGAAAGAAGCAGTAGGAGTTTACAGGTAATGGTGACATGAAAAGCATTAGATTTCCTAATGTCCTTAATAATTAATGTGCTCACATGCATTTAACTGTAATCCTCTCAGATCTGAAATTCATGGTCGCGGCCTTTTCTGCAAAAGAAACATTGAGGCTGGAGAGATGGTGATCGAGTACGCCGGCACAGTCATTCGCTCTGTCCTGACTGATAAGCGGGAGAAATATTATGATGGCAAGGTTAGTAAACATAATACACATTACTGTACTTAGAAATCATCTGCCTCATATTTTTTCATGTGCATTCCTGTTGAAGTAATTTTTAACGTGACATTGAGGCTTTAACTGATAGCCGGTGCTTTTGAGGGCATAAAAAATAAATTAACTGAAGTCATAAGCCTTAATATTTCAGTCCTGGTTTATTTGCCAACAGCCATGGTTGGTAAGTATAGTACTATAGCCTAGTGTATATACTATAGCAAACAGTCCTTGAGCAGCTACTTGATGAGAAATAGAGCAGAACATAAACTGTTGTATCAGTGCTCCCAAACAAACTCATGAATAAAGAAGTCAGTCAGTGATCTTTATCCATCATGCCATCAGCAACTGCCATCTTGATTCATGCTGCACACAGTGAGAGGAATTTACTGAACAACAGGACACAGTAAAGTCTTTATATTTAATACTGATCCGTCATTAAAACATGACGTCTTGTTTTGCAGACGCATTTTTGATAAATGATCATGGTCATTACTAACTGTGGCAACAAATACAGTGTGTTTCCTGTGATTGCTTTAGAATAAAAGCCTCCTCATGTCCCTGCAGTTGAATGCTTTTAAATGTGAAGCAGCAGTAGTGATGTAATGGTGTGTGGGTAGTAATCCAGTGCAGGACTACGCCACTATCAATGACAAATACTATAAAGAGAATTAATTACAGTATGTAAATACATTTAATGGCTATTGTTGACCATAAATCTTACCATAAACAGGATTTTAGGCGGCGCCACGTACCAAGGCCGAATCCTTGTGGCAGTAGCCATAGGTTAGAGTCCGACCTTTGCTACGTGTCACCCCCTATCTCTTCCCCTTTTTCCTGTCTGTCTTGATCTGTCCTATCCAATAAAGCCAAAAAGGCCCCAAAACGGATATTTAAAAAACAAAACAAACTTTCTAGCTGTTGAACGTCCTGGAAATGTGAAAATAATGACTAACTGTTGTTTAATCACTCGTCAACAGGGCATCGGCTGTTACATGTTCCGCATCGATGACTTTGATGTGGTGGACGCAACGATGCAAGGCAACGCAGCTCGTTTCATCAACCACTCATGCGAGCCAAACTGCTACTCTCGTGTCATCAATGTGGACGGTCGCAAGCACATCGTCATCTTTGCCCTGAGGAAGATCTACCGAGGCGAAGAACTGACCTACGACTACAAGTTCCCCATCGAGGACGAGAACAGCAAGCTGCACTGCAACTGTGGGGCGAGACGTTGCCGTCGCTTCCTCAATTAGTATATCCAATACACACACACACACACACACACACACACACCATGTACCAATAGCCATCTTGCTGAATGCACAGAAGATGGACTTTGAAGAATTCATTGTGATGTAGCCATAAGAGTGAGGTCGCTGACGCTCACAGAACCGATCTACTGAAAGTCTTCACTTTGTTGGAAGCTTGATTGATGGACTGAACGAGGACGGCATGCGTACTGTTCATTTCTGTCCCCTGAGCTGCCGTTGACTGTCACAGAAACCAGATCAGAGCCATATGTCAAAAGCTTGGGATAAATACTATTTATGTGATTTCAGACTGCTGGATTTATTTCTTTTTGGTCTGTTACAAAGTGCAGTTCAATCAATGAGACTGCACTAATGTTTGGATTCGTGTACTGTTACCATCTTATACAATGCGTTCTCTCAGTTTTTACATTGTTGAATTCGTCGTGAGGAGCCTCTGCTGGAACTGGGGCTAGACAACAACCAGGAGGCAATTATTACCAGCTACAAACGGTGCAAACTTAAATAACCTGGTATCAGTTATCGCTGTGTAAAGGGAGATCTATTATTATGCTGGTGACAGAACGTCTGTGTAAATACAAGGTCACACAGATGGATGAGGAGAATATTATTCAGCACCTTACTTTGACACGACCTTCTCTGGCAGCACTGGTGACAAACTTTCCCAGCAGAATAAACACATTTGCCTCAAGGCACCTCGTGTACATTGTAGTGCAGCTACATTTTAACCTCACTCTGGATACCACAATTCTTGTGAGCAGGGACTCCAATGTTTTAGGTGCTGGTGACATTTACCCCAAGACGTAGTTTTAATATAGTCACCCAAACCTTTTCCCGCCAGTCAGTAGTAATTTCCTATTTTTATTCGTGATGGCAGAAATGCTTTGATCTAAATGCTTTTATCCCACTATTACAGTCTGTTCTTTATTTGTTCATTTGTGCCGTTTGTGTATTTTAAGGTCTATGAGGGAGCGTTTCCTTGATGCAGGGGTTTGAACTGAATATATATATACTGATCTTGCTCTGCACATTCCCTTATAAATCTTTTTGTATTTTTGTATATTTGAACAATAAATGTATATTCAACAAGCTGATGGAAATAAATGTGTTTGAGCTTTTAACTTTCTATTTGTAAGTGAAGGCTGACTTATAGAACTGAAGCTATTGCTGAATAATGATCCTAAGTTAATCTTTTCCTCTTTTTTTTTTTCTTTCTTTTTTGCGGCTGTTTTGCACCCTTCTATTTGTGTGTGTCTCACAGGTGTACTACCTCATTGGTGTTATGAAGCAAGATTTAATTTAATTTCACAACACATTTGGTGAAAAACTTCTTCCTCATTGTTCAATCTTTATGATTATTACATCTTGATAGTATGAAAACAAGCAACATCAGTACTATTAAACACTGACTTTCTATTATGCCTGCAATTATTTTGTAAGAATAGGTGGCCACCGTTGTTTGTGTTTTCTCCTGTGTGCAACCACACCCAGCCAATGGGTGTAGATCTGATCCTAGAGTTTAAGTTGAAGGCAGAATGCTGTGGATGTATGATTTGTGTTTTAGTGTTTAATAATTGAATTTGACACGCAAAGCTTTGTTGCTTCATCAGCTTGGATCCTTGCTTGTACATAGTTGTATAAAGAATTTCTAAACCTGTTAAATATTTTTTTACCTACGACTTTTTTTTTTCTTTTTTTTTTTTATTTATGTTCAATAAAAATTTGGAATGTTCAGAATTTGCCTTCCTCTTGCCGATGTTTGTTTTACCCAATTAAATGAATTTAAATATTACTTGTGATTTGTAATTGAACATACATGAATGTCCATAAAGTGTGTAGCATGTGTGATATTGTTTTGTAGGTACTTTTTCTTCCGATGAACCAAAGAAAAAGAAACAATCCCAATTCAATAATACCACAAATTTTACATATATATAAAGTCCTCATATTTGAGTAAACGGTGGGCTGCTGAAAAGAGAAACCTGGGGCTCAAGATCCCTATGAGGGGTTGAGAGATGAAGAGGTCATGAGATAATTGCTAGCGTGGGAAATAAGAAAAAAGTAAATTCTGCTACATAAAATTACATTACTTTTTGAGTCTCTTCTAATTTGTACTTTAATACTGCATAGATTTACTTCTAAAGGGCCCCTTAAAATGATTTAGGTAAAAACAGTCTGAGACTGGGTCGCCCTGGTAGAGCTGGTACCTCGTACCAGGGCTCAGTCCTTGTTGCAGCGGTCAGGTTTGACTCCGACCTGTGGCCCTTTGCTGCGTGTCTCTATCAACTAAAGGCAATAAAAGCCCCCAATATATATATATATATATATATAAAACATCTCACAACTCAAATCTGTGAGTAAATAATAGGTGAACTGGTTTGTATTAGAAACAAGCAGTTTCATTAAATGATTCCTACAATACACTTCTAAACGTCTTGATTTGTGACCTTTTATAGTCAAATAATGTCTTCTTATGACCCCTCATCTCAGGTTACATATGTCCGCGAGCTGTGAGCAGCAGCTGAAGCAAAAATGTTGAGTTTGTTTTTATTGAGGAAGTCCTGAGCCCCAGGTTTACACATACACATGCACATTTGTTTCCCTTTTTGTAAACTGTTACTGCTGCAGTTTTAGAAAAGTCCTATCAGGTTTTCTATAGATAGCTGAGAAACCTCTTGAATGTTCCTGCAGCCTACTGCTGAGTTGAGACAAATATTCAGACTGTAGGAAACATGACATCTGTCCCATCACACATCACCACCTGAACCTGGACTGACCTTTCACTGGATAAGATAAAACAATATCAATCCTCACAAACATAAAAAAGTGCATCTGTGCACATTAGGCCTCACTGGTTTGAAATTACATAATTGTTGATTACGTAACGGTCAAATCAAGAGCACTGTCCAATCAGAAGTTGTCGCTGGTGGCCTGGGAGTTTTATCCATTCAGTTTTGACGTCACTCAAGGTCTTGCTGTTGCCTTTAGCCATATGGCTCATTCCCAGAACAGAGTTTTGCATGTTGCCTTCCTGACCTTGACAAATTTGGGAACCTAAACGTTAGGACAGACGTATATAAAGAGTTACAGTGTGGACTTGGAGTTACATTCAGAGGAAAGTCACCATGAGGGCCCTCGTGTTCCTGGTTTTGCTTGGAGCTGCATGTAAGAAACTAACCAAACTCTATTTTTATTTCATGGTTTGAACTTTAAATGTACTTGTGTCAAGACTTCAGCGATCAACCATTTCTAAGTTTTCAATTTCTCATATTTTACCTGACATGCTGTTACAGTTGCTGCAGCTGAGGATGATAAGATTGTCGGAGGGTTCGAGTGTCCCAAACACTCTGTTCCCTACCAGGTGTCTCTGAACGCTGGGTACCACTTCTGCGGTGGATCCCTCATCTCAAGCCAGTGGGTGGTGTCTGCTGCTCACTGCTACAAGTCGTAAGTACACAGGAAGTCACATTACAACCAACTGATGAACCCTTGCAAGTTGCATTGAAGGATGTGACTGAAAGACACAGGGTATGTCATCATATCAAAGCAAGGAGCAATAGTGATTGTGCATCAGTAGCTTATAGGGTTATTGGTCTTTCCTCTGTTGGTTCACAACAATGGTCCAAAGATACCATAAACAAGAGCTACAGTACAGTTCATTTAATATCTATATCAACACATAGTCCACAAGAGTAAAGGTAAAAAAAGAATAAATGAATAAACAGTTAGACCAACAGTTATTACTAGTTAGTGTAAATCAAAATGTTATATGAGCAACGCATTAGCCCCCAGACAGCTAGTGTTGGCATATAATGGCTAGCTTGATTAGCAGTAAAACATTAAAAGAACAAATTATAACTGAAACAATTAGAAAACAGCTCTAGAAACAGTAATAATAAAAACAGCAGCAGCGACAGATAATGCTCCAACAAGGTCATTTGGGGGAGTAAATAAATGGAAGACGGCACTGTCAGTTCTCAGATCTGACAAAATGGTGGACGTAACAATGTCAGTCGAACACATCCTGTCAGTGGTTGAACAATCTGTTGCTACTAGCAACCAGCAGACCCACACACATGCAATAGTGGCTTACAGACTCAATCTATTTAATGTATTTAACATTTACAGGAGTTAAAATACAAAGAGGCAGCTTAAACATCCTCCAACTGCTCCCTGAATATTTATTGCTCAAGAGAAGTGTTGAAAGAAGAGTGTTAAATCTGACACCAAACTGGGGTGGCCAGGCATTTTCTTTATTATCTCCATGTATGCTATGTTAAAAGGGCTACGAAACAACACAATCTTCCTTCCTGGAAATGGAAATTTTAATGAATAAGACATAAAAGGCATTAAAGGACATTGGCTTACTTGGTCCGGCATAGTAATGACATCACCGCGCCACATCACCTGTCTCTGCTTTAAATAAATACAATTATCACAATATAGACAGAAATCATTTTATAAGAAACCAGACTTTATGACTGTCTAACTTTCATGTGACCACCAGTCGTGTCCAGGTCCGTCTTGGTGAGCACAACATCGCTGTGAATGAGGGCACCGAGCAGTGGATTGATGCTGCCAAGGTGATCAAGCACCCACAGTACAACAGCTACAACCTGGACAACGACATTATGCTGATCAAACTGAGCCGCCCTGCTACCCTCAACAGCTACGTCCAGACCGTGGCCCTGCCCTTTCGCTGCCCTGTGGCCGACGAGAGCTGCCTGGTGTCGGGGTGGGGCAACATGTCCGCCAACGGCAGTAAGTTGAGTCTGGGAGCTGAGAGAGGATGTAAGGGGAGAGATAGTGTGGCATCAGACACTGGTGCAACATAAATTACATGATGAGGGTATACAAAATAGTGCATGTTTAAAGGGGCAATCCACCATTTTTACATATAAAATAAGATTCTCATCACAAAGAGCATTGCTCAGCCTTTGAAAACAGTTGTGTAATGCACTTTGTGTGTGACTGAGGCCCAGTATACTGCATGTTTTACACTGTAATCTCATGATTTAGGCCTCCAACAAGTTAAAGCAAAAAGAAATTATATTTATTCACTAGTTACCCTGATTTTCTATTTAATTAATAAAAAATTATCAATTTTAAAAATATTTCTTATTTTCATATTTTCTTATTTTCATTTATATTCACTTATTTTGTTTGACCAGTGGTTCTAAACCCAAATGTATTCAGTTTTCTATAATGTTGAATAGAGGAAAGTAGCAAGTCTTCATCCTGGAGAAGTCACAACCATAAATATGATAAATAAAATATTAATAAGCAGTCAATTCATTTCGACAGACAAATCAATTAATCAACTCATCTCTACATTACTCATACTTAACGCCACATTATTGTAATATTTTAAATAATGGCAGGTGACAGGTGCAATCTCAGTACCCATCATCTGACGACAATTTGCATTCATATAGATCGATAGATAGACTTTATTAATCCCCAAAGAGAAATTATTGCAGTGACTGAGACTTGCCTTCCCGCTCCCCAGACAGCTTTCCCGACAGACTGCAGTGCCTGAGCCAGCCTATGATCGATGACAGGATCTGCAGGAACGCCTACCCCCACCTCTTCACCGAGAACATGCTTTGCTCCGGATTCATGCATGGAGGTGCCAGCAGCTGCCAAGTGAGTTGAACTAATCACAGTGAACACACAGGGAGTCAGGTGGTACATGATGCATCTCTTCCAGCAGTGCAAAGAGCCTGTGACTCAGTGCTGTGGTGCTGAGCACACAGAAGTACACAGCATAGCACGTATTTGTCACTAAGCATTGAATATACTTACTCCTCACATGATAATAATTTAGAAATCCACTCTAATGCCCTTTAATACATTTTCACAGTTTCCACACATTTTTAAATTACCAGTACACCACTGCCACAGCTGTGTCTGTATCACTGTCTGCAGGAAGATGATGAAACACTATTGCAAGAGACACGTTAACCCTTTGAACATGTTTCCGCTTCTAGTTTTTTATTTTATTTTATGATCAATGTGATTTTGATGGTGCTTAAAGATTAGAGAAAGAGTCTGGGAAAACCAGAGGATGTTGAATGTGAATGGTATCATCATTAAACAGTACATTGATATAAAACAGCAGAGAATTATATTAATATGAGTAGTAAGACTCCCTGTATCCCCAGCTCACAACCACCTACTTCAGTTATACATTGGTTTGTATCTTATATGTTGTTTTACGTGGTTTTATAATAACACTTAGGTGGTATTAGTATACTTTTGAGTAGGGCTGGACTATATAATGACATCCATCTGAGCTTTTTCCATAGTTTGTAGCTCTTACCAGCTATCACTTTAATATCTCTGGGTGTTATTGTGGGCAATGTTGCAGATCAGTGTACAGGACTGCTTTATGGCAATAGTTGATTTACATGAGTTTTGAATCTATTATGACTCGATTTGTTGAGGGTTTGATTCACAAAAGGAAAACTATTCTATGAAGTTTCTCAACTGATTTTCCAGAAAATGTACTTTATTACCACGTATAATGTTGCATTTTACTTTCAATGTGAGAGAACATTGTAACTCCTAGCTTGAGCATTAACACTAATGATAACACATTTTTCCTCATTAAAGAGTAACTTAACACACCCTGAAACTCTTGTTTCTGCTGACATGTAGAGGTTTAACCTCTCACCTTGGTTAAGTGATGTACAGGTGTACTCCAGGACTCTGACATCACTGTTGGGTGGTTACGGGTGCAACAAAGAACTCTTCAGACCACACCCAACGACTGAAGAGGCTTGAAACTGTCAGCCAGAGAGGGCAGCAAAAGCACTGCTTTTGAGTCTAGTGTTAAGTTACTCTTTAATACAAACATTTGCAGAAAGGTGTGACTGTTACCTATTGTTCACAGTGTACCATGAGTTCACTATGACCACTTACAGTAACATTATATGGTTGTGTTCGCAGGGAGACTCCGGTGGTCCTCTGGTGTGTGGCGGTCAGCTTCAGGGAGTCGTGTCCTGGGGTTACGATTGCGCCATGAAGGGACACCCCAGCGTCTACGCCCGTGTGTGCCGCTTCAACGGCTGGATCAGCAGCGTCATGAGCAACAACTAAACATACACATACAACCACGTGCGAGCTGACTCAGTTTAAATCAGTTTTATTTGGAACACCCTATATATTACTGTGTCATTCATATACATCTCATAAATATCATGTTTAGGCATAATATTCTGTAACAGTTGGATAAATGAATAAAAATATACAATAGCATCCATTGCATTTGTTTTATTTTTTACATCGAGTTTCACAGTTGTTGGCAAAACAATATTAACATGCTCTTGCTTGGTAATACTGTATTCTCACAGCTTCTGTGTCCATTCTGTTTTGCTGTCACAAGGCCACTGCTGTCTTGAAATTCATTATGAAGACAAAAAACAAACCTAAAACTGCTGCAAACCATCCATGTGTAATATTTAATTTGTACTTACTGCGCTATAGACACATGCATCTCTATGAAATGCCTTTTGTACTCTGTTACTGCGGGCACTGGAGTGATATGGGAGACAAGGAAACTTGGGTAAATAAGCAGTAAGGCATTTCTGCATTTCACTTGTCTGGATTCTTTGCATGCATTCCTCAGATGGCGCTTTGTAAACTTCGCTGTTTCTTGTTTGCTGAGGCAACCTGAGCATACAAAGGAAAAGACAGAGAGAGCAGAGGGGATAGTTGTGCAGCCATATCAAACAGGGAAGTATGTGCGCTGCTCATAAAAATGAGTCAGGGATGGCGTGCCAATAAATATCTTTCTTATCTACATAAATATTACATATTACATATAGTTTTAGTTAAGTCATTATGCCAGTAACTGAGAGAGACCAGAGGGAGAGGGGGCGCACATTTGTGGAGTGGACACAGTGACATGCATGTACCGGCGTAAAAAAACAACATAAATTGGACAATAAAATGGGCAATCATGACATCTAGCTTAGTGTTTCTATTGAGTTTGAATGGATAAGTCACTCTGGACAAAAGCAACTACAAAATAAATGACCTTCAAACCCTTTTTGTTTAAAATGTGTTTTCATTTAAGTGGTAAAACAAGTCATTTAAATACATTTTTACTCCACATTATTATACTATCAATTGAGTATGGAGAGTATTTGTCCTGTTCTCTAGGATTTAAATACACTTTCTGAATATGAAAAGGGGGTGTATTAAAGATGAGGTTGCTCCTTAAAACATGATATATTACTGACTATCATCTAATTTAAATAATTATTGAAATAATATAGAGAGATCATTTTGGACAGGATAAACTGTTCATATTGGCTCATGCATATATTCACTGCAGCCAAGTCCAAAAACAAACAACCCACCTGACCAGCAATCCTATCCAGATCTCTCTGGCCTTGAGGAGTAAGTCTCCGTCCACTGTATTTAAACAAAAAGCACATCCATCACTTATTCAAATTACCACAACACAGTCTTAAATAAAGTGTCCCTCTCTCTCACCCATTTGGGTCCTTCTCCACCATCTTGAGGCCCTCCAGAGCCTGGAGGACCTTCCTCGCCACATTCCTGGAGCCCACGCTGAAGTGGGCGGGGCATACACCGTTCCTCTGACGCCCTCCGTACACCTTGATCATGGAGCCCACGCCGACCCCTCCTCGGAGGTACAGGTGACGAGCTGTGGACGCTGGCGAGACGTACAAACGGGATAAAATATATGTTGCAATATAATCCGTGTTCTTGACTTGTTCATCCAGAAGACATGAAATCAAACATTCCAGCTTATCAAATGTGTGACATTTTCTCTGCAGACTCTTATGCTATTGTTACTGTCAATATGCCCGAGTAGATAACATACACAGCAGCTGAGGGAGGATTGTGTGCATATGCTTTTATTGTATATATTGTACCAGGAATATCTGCTCACGATAGCGCTGACCAATATTACAGTGTTTCGTGTATGATATATCATTTTTAGATTTTTAGCTGGTAAAATGAAGTCAAATAACTGACTGATGGTTTCAGCTGCTGAATTGATGTATGGGAAACACTTCACGTGTAACCAACCTGCTCTGGTGTAAAACCAGTTGTCATCGCAGGGAGCCAGCTCCTTATGTCTGGCGAGCTTCACGGTGTCAACCCATTCTGGGACTTTGAGCTTGCCAGATCTGAAAAATCAATCATCAGTTGATGCGATGAATCAACTGACAGGGCTGTTTCCTCTCACACCATAAAAAAAAAATACAGTATTCATCCTAAACCCAACAGCTCGAGGCAGGCAGCCGCCCACCTACAGCTGGGGTCTGCTCGAGGTTTCTATCTCCTTGCCACTGTCTCCAAGTGCTTGCTCATGGAGGAAAATGTTGGGTCTGTCTTTATAAGTGGTTCAGTCTTGACCTGCTCTGTATGAAAAATACCCTGACATAAATTGCGCTATTTAAATAAAACTAAATTGGATACAAAAAAAATTAACTGCAGCAGTTTTTATTTCACAGGGTAATCTTAATTCATAGTGGCTCTACAGTGCATTTCTAAAGAACCCGTCCCTGTTATTTCCAATAAATACAGCATTATTTACACTGTTTCGTTTATGTGACACTAGGGCTGCACAATGAATCAGATAGTCCAAGTGCAATATGCAAAATGAAGCTGCAATTGTTTAAATAAAGGTAAAATGTGTGCCAAAACAAGCCTCATAGAGCTGCAGAGATCCCCTGGCCTAAAAAGATGTCACATCGTCATGATTTAAAAAAATAAAAATAAAAAAAATAAAAAAATAAAATTGCAATCGCAATATCTGTCAAAAATAATCACAATATGCTGTTTTTACCATATGGAAACTCCAGCTTTAAAAAATAAAAAATAATAATAATCAGCTACTATTGACCTTCATTTACATACAGCAGCAGCAGTGTGACTGACAGGTGGACATCAGCCAGTCATGCAGTGAAGGCTGGTTTTTAAGCTTTACTTACTTTTTGAGGAAAGCTGACAGAGCCCTGACAAACTCCTGCTGGTTGACATCTTTCACCGTGACACTGGGCATCTAAAAAGAAGAACAAAGGGTGAGTTTAACATTAAAAAGAAATGTTCAAAGAAGCTGCTTTGGCCACCGGAATGCAGCTGACCGTTGGAACCGTTGGGCTATGTGCTAATGGTAGCTAGCTACAAGCTAACTATTAAAGTAACTAATTATAAAGGTTAACTGCAAGTCGCAACGCCCCTGGCAGATACCCATACACACAGCTCTCATACTGCCTCAGTAATGAAAACATTTTCTTACTTTTTATATATTACAACACAGAGCCGTCCGCCAGGTGGTCAGGTTTGGGATGGAGCACGGAGGGTTAGCCCCGGTTAGCCGCTGGTAGCTAATGCAGCGAAGCGGTTAAAGGGAGGATGCTGAGGGAGGGAGGGAGGCAGGCAGGGAGGGAGGGAGGGAGACTGTCCTCATTTGGAAAAGATGATACCATAGTCTGAATTAACCTTCAAAAAAACCCTGCTTAACTCAACCACACACGGTAGTATCCCTCCATGTGTGTTTTAATCACACACTACTCCTCCTTTTTGTGTTCAATTGATGGCAAAACAATGAATTTAACGCGCTTTGTCACTGATGCTGGGTGTGAGCTGATCCCATTGAATCCCAGCAGAGGGCAGTGTTGGGGCACCTTTTTTTTTTTACCCCCAACATCTTCTGGCCCATTTCTCTGTGTTATCAGACCCAAAGGCTTTTCAAGAAGTGTGCTGCAGTCAGCAGGCGAGGAGACACCACCAGTGGAGGGTTAGTAACACTCGCCTGTGTTCATTTTATTTGCCTTTTAAATGCTTAAAGCTTGCCCTCCCTTTTTACACAGATACAACTGGATGCATAAATGGGACTAAAACAAATCCATAAGTTACTTTAAACTGTGCTACATTTTAAAGGATGGCCATGAGATGACACTATTCGTAAAACATAATTGCTTTCTTTCATCATTGGTGCAATTGTAAGTATAAAATGCCATCTTTTTAGATTCAGTGTCCAGGCCTCCGTTTTCCAAGGTGATGCCCTTGGAAAACAAAGCAGTATGCAGCGGCTGCTATGTGTATTTATAAAAAATATCTCATTCCTGGCACAAAAGTCTAAAGACAGGATACACAGAAAGCTTCTTAACCAAGGTGACCAGTTTTTCATCACATATCTTTCTTGACCTCCCATGGCCTGCCTCCTTTCTCCTCTGTTCTCACCTCTTTGCTTTAACCCTTAATGTCATATTTCGTAAAAAATAATTACTTTATCTCGAAGTATTCAAAGCATTCATTTACAGTTCAGTTTTTTAAATGAACTGTAATCTTGAAAAACCTCCTGTTTCACAGTATTTGAGTTAGCAGCTCAGTTTCCAAAGACACTGAAGCACCTGTCTAATACTTGAGGCAGGTGAAGTTGAAAAGCTGACTTTTGTAGTCATTATTTTTTAAAATTTTAAATACTGGCAAATTACAATAACAAGATATTAGAGCCAAGGTTTTTCTTACTTATTTTGACTTGTAGCCAATAAATATTCAGAGTAGATGCACAATAGTGAAAACTTCACTTATGAAACACTTATGACCAGCAAGTGTTAACTTTAAAATCAAATAAAATTATTAATGGTTTACCAGAATTATGCAGATTTAATTTTATTAAAAGTAAAACATAGCAATAATTATCTACAAATACAATCTGAGTTTGATGGGTGCGTGTCATAACTGCAGGCTTGTATTGAAGATTAAAATACTTGTGACAGGAAGATGTGATAAGAGTGGAAATTAGTCAATTAATTGATTAGTCATTTGACAATTGTAAGTTAAACCCCTCTTTGGTTTTGGCTCGTCATTTCAAAACCGTAAGCAGATAGAAGGCATCACTTTTTGGCCCTGGAAGCTTTAGATAAGACTATTTCATTATTTGTGACAGATTTTGACTGAACAATTAATCAAGGAAATAATAGTGGGATTAATTTATAATAAACAACCAATCATTTCTCGCAGCGCTTATTATATTGTATATTGTCTCCAAAGCGTTGCTTAATTTTTTTGTTGTACCCTGTTTTAAGTGTAGTTTGACGCTATAAACTGCTGAAAATGCAGAAAATCCTGCCGTTTTTTTTATTATTTCTTTCCTTGACCCCAAAAAGTCATGTATTTCTTTTCTGGTATGTAGGCTAACATCGTATGCGGATTACCACCAGCATGTGAAACACTGCATCTAAAGCCAAGGTAGATGAATGTGTGTTTACAAATGTTCTTAAGCACACACACACACACACACACACACACACACACACGCACACACACACACAACCACAGCAGCCCTGTGCTCTGTGTCTGCCCGTCTAAGCTTCTTCCCCTCCCCCCTCTCAACATCTCTCTCCCCTTTTTTGTCCCCCTCGCCCTCTCCTTTTCCCTCCCGCTCGCTCTCTCCTGCCTGCTAGCACTATTTCAAGCCTCTGCCTAGGAGAGAGAGAGAGAGAGAGAGAGAGAGAGAGAGAGAGAGAGGAAGAGACACACAGATGCGCAGTTAGAGAGAGAGAGAGAGAGAGAGGGAGAGAGAGGGGAGGGGAAAGCGGACAGGATTTAGAGTTCAAGTGCACGTGCAGAAAATAGGCTGAATAGAGGAGAGTCAGAGCAGAAAGGAAACCAGGAAAAGGAACGGCAGGGGCGGGAGACAAAGCACACAGTAGCTCTTTCTCTTCATCTTTTCTTCCTCTCTATTTTCCTCTCACAGAAAGAGAAGGCATTAGCCTTGGAACAGAGGGGTGAAAAAAAAAGAAAAAAGCACAGAATTCAAATACCGTGAGCGTAAAAGAAGAAAAAAAAATGTATTCCTATTCCTGCCCCCTCCTCTTTCCTCTCCCCACCAACACACTCCTCCTCTATCCCTCCCTCTTGGATATTTCTCCATGAACCCCCAGTCTCTCTCTCCCTCTCTCTCTCTCTCTCTCTCTCTTTCTCTCTCTCTCTGGCTCTCCTTTCTCTCCCCTCCCACCTCTTCACACACACACACACACACACACACACACACACACACACACACACACACACTCACACACACACCCCGGAGTCCTTCCCACTCCTTCCCCTCACGCGCGCTTACTATCCACTATCGACTTTCACTGGAGACCGACTGCATCGAGCTCTTTTTTTTTTCCTTCCTCCTTTTTCTTTTACTTGCCAGTCTTTGCTTTTGGTTATGCCCTCATGTATGGAGGCACCATCACGCAGACGCTTCACCCCTACTATGCGTGGCGCCCGTGAAAAATGCAGGCCGTGGATTGTCCCTGCGTTAGACTGAATGCCACAAACCGCTTGTCCCTTCCTGAATAGTTTTTTCTTTTCTTCTGCAGTATTTTTTTTTGTTTTTTTTGGTTTTTCAAATCAGAGCACGACTTCTGTTTAGAAGGCTTTAAAAAAAAAACCTTATCTGTATTCTGAAGCGGGAGCTTAGGGTTGAAGAAAAAGGAAAAGAGTGTCCGATGAATAGACAGATGAAGGGGGACAGAGGCAAGAATGAGGGGAAAATGGAGAGCATGGTCTACGCTAGAAAGCAAGAAAGAACGAGAAAGAGAGAGAGGGAGAGGGAGAGGTAGGAGAAAGAGTACCGGCACTGCTAAGAAAAACAGGAGGGGGAAGAGAGGAGAAGGGGGACCAGTAGGGGATAGACTTAGGAAGGAGAGACGGCTGGATAGGAATTGGCAAAATCGCGGGAAAAAGGAGAAAAAAACAAAACTCCAGAATGAGAAGAAACTGGACTTCTCTCCAAAGTCTCACACTCTCTGGTCGCCTTTGATTTTTTGTTTTTTGACATGATTTTTCATCACTTCTCCGGTCACCCTCTCATTCATCTGTGAGTATACTGTATGTACATGTCCTTTTCCTTTCCCATACATGCATCCTCTCTGCCTTTGCTTCTTTCTTTAAAGCGTTCTCCTCCCTCCCCCCCCCCCGCCTTTGCCTTCACTTCATTTTTCAACTCTCCCTTTTTTCTTGTTTGAAAAATGTGTTCCCTAGGTTGCTAATCCCCCCATCCTGTTCGTCTATCCCATCTCGCGCTCCACCTCTCTCCCTCTTTCACTGTCTTTCTCTCCTTCCTCCTTCAGCTCCTCTTTATCGTGGGTTATCGCTGCTCTCTTTGCCTCTCCTTGAAGGATTACCTCTGCTCACATTTAGATGAGGGCTTTGGAAAGGGATCACTGAGTGTACCCAGTTTTAGGGGGCCCATGCATGGGAGGCTAGCACATGAAGGAGGCAGGGTGTGTGCATTTGTGTGTGTGTGTATCTGTCTGTATTAGTCATGTGTATCTGTGTGTCTGTGCATGTGTGTATGTGTGTGTGTGTGTGTGTGTGTGTGTGTGTGTGTGTGTGTGTGTGTGTTTGTGTTAGTATGTTGGGGTGTGATTAAGAGTTAACGGAGCCGGCAGTGGCGAATGGTCACTCCTGCTTACGCATGCGTGGATTTGCACAATCACGTTTCATGTTTCATATTCATGAAATGATTGTGCGATGTTGTTAGGTATAAAATGTGCAGAAATGAAGGATGAAGTGTTAGACTGGTGTGAAACGAGGAGGTGAAAATGCTGAGTACGGTACTGCAGGGTTTCTTTTTCTTGCTCTCTCATTGCATATTTCACTCCTCCCATGCTTCTCCCCCTTTTTTTTTATCCCATCTTCCTTCCGTTCATCCGGGTATCCCCAATCTATCGGTCGGTCCGCCTGTAAAGACAAAACCCACAGTCCAAGATGTGGTTCGGTATCAACAAAAGATAAGGGTGGATTTATTCCGGGGCGTGAGCTAAGTAACAAACTGGAGTCGGTTTCAACAAGTTTTTAAATTTTTTATAACCTACGCATTTGGGTGAGATTACTTTTGTTTGATGTGGTGAAGTTACAGGTAAAAACAAGAGGTTTTGGTGCAACTTACTGCATATCTGCGATGTAAAGATGTCGACAGTAGTGGATTACATGAATGCATTATTGTACTGTAAGTACAGTGGGCCTAGCGCCGCGCAGTAGACAGAGGCAAACGATATATAGCACAAGTCTGATATCGTACATTTGCGCTCCATCCACTGTAATCTCCGCCGAGTATACCTTTTTCTCCCGCTGTATCAGCCTCAGATATCTCCTGGCATCTCTTTCCTTTCCCTTTTTTCCTCTCCTGTGTTATATATCTGCCTCCTCTGTTTTTTATTTACATAGCCTCCTGTTATCTCTGCGCACATTTACTCTATCACTTGCTACAGTTGTTATCTATATCCAGGATTGTCCACTGGTATCATTCTGAGGCCATTGTGTGTGTGTGTGTGTGTGTGTGTGTGTGTGTGTGTGTGTTCCTCCTCCGACAATGGTTTTTATTGGTGTGTGTTACTTTACACGATAAGTGCTGTAACACCCTTTGGTTGTTTGCGCTAGTTTCAGACATTTTTTGTTGTGTTAAAATCGTTGTATACCGTTTATCCCAAAGTAAATGTGAGGATACAGTTGTCCAGAAAGTTTTTATTCGATTCGGTGCTGTCATTTTTAAAAATACATACTGTATGTATGGGTAAGAAAAATGCTAATTGTGTAGCCGAGGCCGTTAGATAACAGTTACTGGCCTAATTCTCTAATAATATTCAGTGTTTAAATGTGTGCTAAATTAATTCATATGCAATGATTTGATTAAAACACAATGATATGACATTTATGGGCAGACAGCATCACTGCGTTCTGTGATAAACCAAGGGGGGAGGATGCTTTTGTTTAGTAGCGTCCCAGGCTCGACCTTTCCGTGACCTCCACTGTAGCTCTCAGGAAAATGAAGGGAAACGTCTTTGATGTTGAAAATTGTCGTCTGCGATTTTCAGCCAAAGACACAGGAAGGTTAGGGGAGATAAATATCTCCCAGAGCTACGTACTTGCGCTTATTTGTTTTCAAATTTGACTTTTACTTAACCAAACCTGCCTAGCACCTTTAATTCCACTCCTGAGGGGATTTGATGGTAATGCCAGTGTAGCGGGACCCCCAGGTTATGAAATATTACTCAGACAGACCTGGTGTTATGTAATCTTACATAACTGAGGCGGCAGCTCAGCAGGGTCGTGATCAGGGGCTCTGGAGGAGAAGCTATATGGGTCTGCTTATGGTATGAACTCACTGGCAGGGTCAACACACTCTGGGCCTTAAAGGGGAAGAGGCCCTGCATAAAGATACTGCAGTATCCGCACATATGGACTTAAGTGTCTGACACCTAAAGGCTGAGGAAAAAGAATAACCTCACCTATAGGAACAGTTTGCTGCAGATGGTTTGCCTCATTTACTATTTGTATGTTCATTTCAGTGTAATTTGGCAAAACTCATCTTAAACTGTTTAAGCTAAAGACTTTATCGACTTTAAATCATTAATCCTTCATTGAATTCAAACTATCATCTAATAATTGGTTTGCCTAACAACTGTACAGCTATTTAAATATTGCATGGCCAAAACTAGTGGTATCTGACTGTCTAATATGTGTAACATCACACAGTATGTTACACATATTCAAAGTACTACAGTCCTGTGCCATGACCTATGATTCTCTAGCAGCTCTCTGTGAATCTCGTGTGTTTCTCATTCATAATTGATGACATTCAACCGCAGCATACATTAATGGATCGAACAGACCTCAGGAATTCCCATGCAAGCTGCCATTGTGTCGAGCAGGTTTGAATTTGTGCTGCTGAATTTGTGTTTTCCCATCTGGAAACCGACAAACTGACGAGTGCCAGTACAACATCCTGACAGGCCTGGTGTGAAATACAAATAGTATAATGAAATGCCTGCAAGAATAAAGGGTCGTATTTAATGGGGGATTAAAAAGATCTTGAAATAGTAGATGATCTGATCTCATAATCATTTGATTGACGTAATCATATGGTTAAACACACAGTAAGGTTAACATAAGTTATATCAGAATATCTACAATTCTCTAAGTAATCATAATGCAAATAAAGTATATGTGTGTCTGTTTTTCAGATTGAGCTTCTGCGTCAACCTGAACTTTTTCATTGAAGATGTGATTATTATCAGGTAAGGAAATATTTACTATACATCTGTTTAATTAAAAAAGGGTCCAGAATAAGCAACAGAAAAATGAGTCTATGTATAGCTTTGTTTAAAACCAAGTGCTTTACTGACTAGATTTTTACTTAATGGCACTCAGCAGTCAGGAACACTTGGTCAGCCATTTTAGTCTGTGGTCCGATCGAAACGTCAATGCACCATCAGAATAATTGAATTACTCTTCCCTGAGTCATTCTGTTGTGATTAACCTCACAGATATGTGCTAACCGTGGGTCTGTGTGAAAGCAGCAAGAGGACAATCTTTCATTTTGCTGGCACGCCTATTTGAGTCAGTTTGGTGTAACACTGTTGGCTGTGACTTATCTTAGTAAGCAACAAGTCGAAGGGTCATCTGCTGGTCACATCCCGATTATCAGATGTTGTTGAAAAGTGAGAGAGTGCGGGCATAAAGAGTGGCCTGTGGACTAGCCTTGAAGCTAGCTTTGGAGATGCCTCACATTACATTTTTGTCTTTGTGCTGATGTCACCCCCATGCCCCTGGTCCAGCAGCAGGAGAATAAGAGCTACATTCTGCCTCTGCGACACAATAGAGCCCTTCTTGCCCTGATATTTTCACAATGTGTTTTTCCAGGGCCCTGCGCACACATGTGAACACACATTCTCTGCAGGCGGCACAGGCCCGTTGATTTAGAGCTAGTTGAGCTGTGCACTTTACCTGATATTTCCATTCTTGTTGAGGGTGTTTGCGCAGAGATTTGAAGCAGTTTGCTTTCACTGTCAGAGAGCGGTTTGTAAACACGCCGCGGGTCATTTGTTAGACTTTCAGATTCATTCGCAGCACCCTCTCAAAAACGGGACATTATTAATTTTGCTTTATGAACTGTGTATGGCCAGTAGCACGTGTATGTTCGAGATTGTTAATGTAAGTGATATATTATATTTTCCGTGGATCAGAGACAGAGAAGCCATGTAAGCAACCGCAGTACAGTACGGTGGTGTGGCATGGGTTAACGTCTGAGGACCGGAGGAATGTGTCGGGGTCGACAGGGAGAATTCCTCAGTCCTGCGCGACTAGGTCACTGCACTGACAAGAGTCTGCCACCTTTTTTAGCATGCGCACTGCCGCCCTGCGCCTCTGTCTCATTGCCCTCCTCTATCTTTTTCTAATTCTGCCTGCCTGTCTTTCTCTCTTCGTTTTCCTCTGTTTGGCACCAAGTCTATCCTTCTTTCTCACATCCTGCTCTCTTCCTTTACATCATTTCATCTTTTGTTCTTGTTTTGCTCGCTCTTTGTCTGTCTCCGTCTCTCTCTTATGTCTCTTTTAGTTAATCTGGCTGTCTGTCTTTCAGTCACGCTGTATATTTTGGCGTCCTACTTTGCCTCGTGTTTTTCCCGTCTTCTATTTGTCCCCATGCACTTTTTGCTTGCGTTTTTCGTCTTCAAATGTTCATGCCTCTAGGTATTTATACTCCAAAGTCATTATTCTGTCATTGTCGTCTGGTTTATCCATTCTCCAACCCTTCACCCTCCTGTCTTTTTTTTTGTATCAAGTCTGTCTCTCCCCCATCTGTCTTTTTCTCTGGCACATTGAGTTCAGTGCTGCAGGTGCTTTCAAGAGGACATGGCGGGAGTGCAGGGGAGTGAGACAAAAAAGACATAGACATATACATTCTCTGTATGCTTGTGAATAGGACACTGGCATGCATGTTATTAATGCAGTGCTGTAGCATGCAAATGGTGCCTGGTGGTGCTGGCTATGTATGATTTATGCGGTGCGTTCCCACACACAGGCCAAGGGCTTTCATACCAGCTATCTGTATTCCTGAGTGAAGGAGTTTGCAGAGTCTCACCTCTTCATTGGCTGACAGCAGAGGTGACAGACGGACCCCCAGGTACAGGATTGTTTCCGCTGATGGCAGATGTGGCGATTTGACACAGTCTGAACCTCGCACACATGCTCACTGAATGGAAGCACATTTCTCTCCTTTTACACAGATGTAGGCTGTGCACAGTTTTATACCTCATGCAGAGGGATGTTGGCAGCCACATCTGGAGATTCTCTTGTTCTTCTGTACACTTCATCCATAAACATATGAATTACTTGAGGAATACCTGGCTCAAATTTTTCGGGATTTATTGTTTCACTTTATTTGGGTGACAGATGTTTGTGGTTTGCCACAGTAGGACATTATAAGGAATATGAGTAAACAGAATTAACATTTTAGCACACTTTTTTGTGATTGACAACATACCTCATCATCTGAACTGTTCTTTTTTTCCTATCTGAACTATTCTGTCATGTTAAATTATTGACTGTTCTATCATCCCCATCTTGTAGTCCATTCAGGTCAGAACTGTCCATCTCAATTGCATTGCAGACAATCAGCTTTTCAGAAACTGACCCCTCCTGTAACAAGGTTACTGCTCATATCAAAGCAAAGGCTGAAACGGTTTGTCAATTAATTGATTGACAGAAAAGATATCGGCAACAATTTTGATAATCTATTAATCAATTAGGTAAATTATTAAATAAAAATACCAAACATTATTATACCTTGTTATATATTTATATTGTATATTAAATAGCTTTGGGTTAGGGATTTAAAAACATCACAACAAGTTGTGATGATCAATTATCACAATTTATAACAATTGAAAAACATAATTGACAGATTAATTAATAATCAGTCATCATTAGTACAATACATATACATTAATATATATTTTATTATATATACTTTTCTATGATTGACATTGTACCACGCCATCTTAACTATTCTGTCATGTTGAATTATTGACTGTACTGTCATGCTCATCTTGTAGTCTATTAAGATTAAAACCATCCGAATTATTAAGTTTCCATAAAAAATATATTAAACATTTTAGAAACTGAAACCTACTATAACAAAGTAATTGCTTGTCTTAAGGCACATATTTAGAACAGTCCATTAATTGATTACTCAATCGACAGAAAATTAATCTGCAACTGTTTTGATGATTTATTAATTATCTTCTGAGCAAAAGAAGTCATATTTTATTCTTTATTTATAGGTAGGTTTTTATTTGGCATATAATCGCCTGAAAAAGAATACAGAGGGTGCGGGTCTTCTTCCATAGAGGCTGCTATGTTGAACCTCCATGTTTCTATAGTAGCCCAGAACGGACAAACCAAACACTGGCTCTAGATTAACCATTTTACATTATTTGCAAGTTCACGACCACCATAGTTTCTCCTACATGCTTGGAAGGCTGAGCTGTGTTCAGATGGTTGCAGTCTGCAACTTCACTGCTAGATGACACTAAATCCTAAACAATGGTCCTTTAAATGTGATTATTTACTGGTTGTTTTTAGTCTTCTTTGCAATCTAAAGATGTCAACTACCTTGGGCTTTGGGAAAATTTGATGGGAATATTTCACTATAGATACAATAAATTGATTAATATATATTATTAATTGAAAGAATGATCGACAAATGAATTAGTAATAATCAGATGAGTAATTTCAGCATAACATAGAAAGTAATCTAAATATAATATCATGCCCAACTTGTAGTTCATTTAGGTAAAAACTAGCCAACTGAATTATTAAGTGAAGACTTACATTTTACATTTACTTTACATAAAAGATATTCAGTATTTCAACACATGCTATGACAAATTGATTGCTTCTAATAGAGCATTTGTATTTGTGCATAATACACTAAAATGATGTAAGTCTCAACTATGTGTGAGCCTGAACTATTTTAGGTACCAGAAATCTCTAAATTGGATTTACAGAATTTGGGGATAAAGCTCTTTCAAATGCTATTTTATTTAGCTCTGACCACATGTGTGTAAATCTGCGGCCATGTTTATTTGTGTGTGTGTGTGTGTGTGTGTGTGTGTTTGTGTGTGTGTTTGCCCGGGCCGTCAACCAAGCACCTAAAGCCCTGGCAGTTTCAGACAGTGAGGGGAGGTGAGACGTGAGTAATAGCAGTGACTGATGATGTCACAGACAGCATCGCACCGCTTCAGCTGCCCCCCTGACCCGGCTTTAGGATGGCGGCAGCAGCGCGCAAGCACCCGTGGGTAACACACGCCAAAGCACATTAGAGGCAGGGAGATGGAGAGAGGCGGGGATGGAACACACAGAACACAGCTCAGGGGGACAGAGAGAGAGACAGAGAGACAAAGAGAGACAGAGGGAGAAGAGAGGGGGGAGGCTGTCAGATTACAGAGGAGAGAGAGAGGAAGAAAAGCTGAGAGACATGGCGATGTTTGCCTCTCCATGCTTTTTTTTTTTTTTTTTTAGCAGACTGTCTGGTTGGAGTTGATGTTCTACATCACTGCCTCAGGTATCGCTCACTGTCTCTCTCTTCTGTCTGTCTAGTTTGCTGTCAGTTTTGCTTCCTCTATCACTTAAGTTAAAATACATAACGAGTCTTTGCATGAAAAAAGAAAAACAAACATAAGAAAAGTACAACCATTTTGATAATCAGTCAATTGTTAAAGTGAAAAATGGCAAACATTTGTTGGTTACAGCTTATCAGACGTGAGTAATTTAAGTTTTTCTCTTTTTGATATCATTGTCATTGTTACACAGCTGGTCAGACAAAACAAGCCATTTGAAGATGTCATCTTGAACTTGTGATGGGCATTTTTCAATTATTTTCAGACACCTTATATAATAATCTTTTCCTCTCTCTAATCTTCTTTTTTAGGATAACACACACACACACTTCACATTTCATCTGCTGCGTCTATCTCTCGCTCAGCATCCCTCTTTATCTCGTTTGTGGCCATTGTCTTTCAACTTTACTCTTGTTGCGGAATTGTCAAAGGTGAAAATGGTAGTGTGAGTTCAACAAGGCTGAAATGAGTGACAGTGATTTAGTTGAAGGACCGCTGAGCTCGCTGCTTCAGACATTATTCTCCACGCAAGTCTGATAGATTGACTCAGAAGACAGCTGTCGCTGGCTGCAACTCTTCTCGTCCAGTCCCTATTTTGCTCCACTGGGTCCACCGGG